GCTTGTCAGGTGTCTCAAGATGTTGGGAGCAAAAGCAGTTTTAAAAATTTGGATCTGTACAACCTTAATTCTTTTGTTTTGATAAGGAACTAGAATCATATTTAATTCTCGATATGTCAGACAATGCACGATGTTGCCCTAGAGATTGAAACGATTCGCGTTTGTAACCACCACCATGCCTACTGATCAGAACTTGTACCTCGGTTACAAGTTTCAAACGCTCTTTGTACACACTGTTTCACTCTACTGATTACATTAACAAACTATTTATTTCTAGAACGAATCAATTATTAGTTAACTACAGTACCTTAGAGCGCACAGAACTCCCTAATTGCTCTATAAACGATAAACAGACTGGTCGTAAAGATGTATAAAGAGACTAGGTAGAGATGAATATATCGGTTTACTAGATGGCAATGTACAACGAATATAAACATATATATACAAAGATTAAGGTCCTATCCGTGTCCACACACTTTTTCTTTCCCCTCCGGTACTTTGCTGCTCGCCTCTTCTCTTCTATTTGCTTTGTAGTGGAAGTTGCGCAGATCTAAAGTGAGACTGTAGTTGAACGGGGATTGAAGCCGCTTACTTATATATACCATATCATCCCTCAAGGTTTTGGCTAGTATTAACTCAATTTCATTGAAAATTCCACTGTAACCATATCAGGACCCTGTACAGCATCCTGTACGAGCAGTACCCATAACCTGAAATGGTTTGCAAATAGCTTACCACATGTTAATCAACTTACTCGTACACAACAACCATGCAGCGACAAATGGCAGCCAACCCCGGTGCAGTAAAGTTAATCTGCCTGATAATGACCGATATTAGCCTGCATCGAATACAATTCACTTCTGGTATTACTTATGATGACAATGCTGACAAAATCAAACGAATACACCACTTGTTTTGAATTAATACCCAGTTTGGATACAAATCAATAATAAGATTCGATGCCGTACACCCCAAAGTTATGTGGGGGAAATGGCTTCAAGCTTTATTTTTCCCAAGTATTTGTAATCCACCCAACACATACTTGGGTTTTTGTTAATGCGAAGACAATATTTCTATATTTCTTGATGTGCTTTATTGAATGACTAGTTAGCAGATTGTTCCCACAAACTAAAGACAAAAAGGATAGCAGCCATGTAATTCCACCATAAACCAAATTTATGTAATTTAAATAATACTTATCCATGCCTGCAAAACTGGTGTGTTCTAAATAGATGGGAATAAATATATATTATTATACTCCTTGAATATGTTTTTCATCATATTGATGATACCTGTAAACTAGCGATCCTCATGTACAAATACTAAGAATATATTATTATTACAATTTTTCTAAGAACCAATCCCACTCAAACATTTAAAATGTCGAGTTTCAATGAAATATGATACATGCTATGCTGCAATATGCTCACAAATCAACATTTCTTTAAAGATTGTGTCCATTGTGTCTTCACTATTTCAGAGCTGCCACTGTAATCACCGGTAATTTTGGTTACTCAGTGGTTGTAAAGAGGCTCGTTTAAGAGAGACTAGAATGTTTTTATGTTTTCCGAGTAACTAGCACGCTTTGCAGGATACACTTATAAAACACCGTATCCTTTTTGTGGACACACCTTCCAGTGAGAATCAGTGTAGGTTATTTGACTTCCCAAGCAGAGATCAGCTTCGAGTACACTTTGCCCCCAACTTAAGTGAATGAGGTAAACAGAACACCAGGAATTCGTCAAGGATAGACCCAATCTTCCTATGTTCTTCAGTCTGAAATATCCCTGCTAGTATTTGATGGCTGTACGTATTTTTCGACAGTACTATCAAGTGGGACAGGTAAAATACCTTGTCTAACAGACTGTCAGAAGACAAATGTCGAATATTTCTACGTTGTGTGAACCTAGTAAAATTTTATACGAAATACATTCGTGGTGAGAGCTGTCTGCAAGACAACATTGTAGACAACAATCTACGTCAATGTTTACGTCCCGAATCAGGGTCATGAGAAAAACAATAACAAAGCTCAACCTTGATAAAATCACCAGACAATCACCGAGGAGTTAAAGAGATAACATAATAACCTTCAACAAGAAAACTACCAATCAGAACGGGTTGCTTCTCCGCTAACAATAACGCCAACAATAATGCAAGTAAAAATCTGTAAATACCTCTTGATTTTCTCAATAAACGATCTGTTGCCTAGCCCTTGTCTCCTGTTGTTACACATTCTCCCCGAAATTCAGAAGTTTTCTAGGCCTAATGATACGGTATTATTTACCAGCTATCTACCATGAATACAAGCAGTAGTTTTGCAAGTGTCAGTGCGCTCCTTCGAGCATTAGGCTTTTCCATTCATAGTCGTCTGGAATATTAAAATGTTTACTAACGCCAAATAGAACAATATGGGGCAAGTCTATGAAAACAGAATTTCAAGGTTTGGATAAAGAACCAACGAACAATCCATCACTACTAAATATGCAGTGAGAACGTAAAAGAATAAAAATGGTGCGTCGGTGGCACAGCGGGAGAACGTTCGCCAACCACGCATGTGGTCCGGGGTTCGATCCCCGGCCAACGCACTCCTTTACCTCACTAAGCCAGTAATAAGGCTGGCAAAGAGGGAAGGTTGGGTAGGAAGTTAGCAACCTCATCCCGTAAAATAAACACCACTGCCACCATAACTGCAAGCCTCTAGCTTGAAGCCCTATCTCCCACTGAGAACGTAAATATGCAATAAATTTACTAATCGAGAAAGATGTGAGTCCAATATTCTCACTTATAACCTGCTGGTTACCATACACAGTTTTACAAATGTCCGCACTCCAGACGATGTTTTATTTGTCGCTTATGCGTGGGATTTAGCTCGGAACGATTCGCCGGAATAGAAGTATGTATCTAGCTCCAACATTTTGGACCACGACCTTATTGGGGGCATTTAAGTGTCAAGTACCGACGGATTTTGAGCTCCCCCGACCCTCCGTGATACCTACGCGTTCGTCTATCCTGTTAAATCTAGTTTGATTGCCATATGAATGGTTGACTTTCTGAGCTGGCCCACCCAATTTCTGTAACTGCGATGTTTTTCCCTGAGTGAAAGAAGCCTACTTCACCTGTACTTGTAAAATGGCATTTTCGGGCAACACAGGAATGGGCAAAGTTGAGTAGTTCTCTACACTTAGAACACAACCAACACAGCAGTCTTCCTTTGCCTTTAATCAAGAGACTATGCTATTCTCCATGTGTCAGTGAGCATACAATAGGATTAACATATTATAATTGGCTTTTACATGAGTAGTGGCAGTTAGAGGGCATCGTAAATATGTTAAATCACATATACACGCAGTAAACATTTACAGATACTGGAGCGCATGAAGTGTGTAAGACAAGATAATGAAATAGTATCGATGAATTTCAATCGCAAGCATCAGCATGGTTTAAATTCAGCCGTAAGCACGTACCAATTAGAGGTGTAAATGCGTTGCATGCAACCAAACATGGCCCGTTGAAGTCTGAGTTTTGTTACATTGTAAGCTGTGATGTTGTCTGGTGAAGCTTGGCTTCTCAAAAGCTTTGTGGCCTAGCAGTTAAAATAGGGTGCGTAATGACACAGACGATGTAGACACATGGAAAGAGAACGGACAGGAATAAATTGTTATCTGCAGCGCTTACTAAGAATTTTCGCAGATATTTAGTGGAAACTACTGATAACTTTCAGTTCATAAAAGGACTTTTGCACATTAAAACACTACACTCACAGAAGTGTTCGAAGATTATTTTTTGACAAGACCCCTGGTATGACAAATATCATATTAACAAAATGCGCTGAAGACCAAAGCAAGCCGAATATGACTTGGCCTAAGAACCAGTTAAGTGACAGCAACTTAAGGATGTATCGGGAATATCCACACTAGGACAGTGGTGGGAAAATACTGACATGTACGGACCTGTTACGCTATTCCTGAAGATGTTGAATGTATTGTAAAATCATGCAGGAGGAATATAATCGAAAAACCTTAGGTGCATTATACCCCACGGAAAGCACAATAAGTCTCAAACAAATTTGAGCCCTACTGACAGATTGGTCAATTAAAGATCATGTCATGATATAAATGATCTCGCCAAGCTCCGCAAAACTGTTTGGCGTTGATGAACACCACATGAAGCATCTCCTAAAGTGGCACTATCAGAATCCGTTAAGCTGTCCCTCGGTTAACTTCACGTATTGTGCTGTACAGTGCATATTTGCACAGAAGATGTAGACACATGGACAGGAATAACTTGCTTAAGTCGCATAAACAGTCGATAAAATTAGGATGGAGGGAGAATTTAAGCATGACGTTACTGCAGATGGTCACTTATTGACTCTGCACCTCGTATCACTTCACTTTGCACTAAAGCGCCGTTTCGGTGATGAAACTGGAAGCACAGACAAAGTGACCTGGCAATGGCTTTGGCTTAAAACACTACACCCAGGCAGTTTCTAGCATTCAACATGCAGCTAATTCCAATGGTTATAAACCTAATCGCTCTCACATTTCGCTCATCGTAAATATACTGCCTCATCACTACTTAGAAGCTATGTCAAAATTTGTCAGTAAGGCGTAGGAGATGGAGACAGAGAGTTGTAGAACGGGCAGTGAAACATATAAAGACCAAATAAGAAGAACCCGTCTTTGTACATATAGCTGCCAACTTCTTGAGAGCGAAACGTTCTCAGCGTTCACTGACTTAATTTTTCGTTCAGGTTGAAAGGTTAAGCAGTGGTAGACCAATCGTTCTTTTATCAATCACAAACTAGCATGCAAAGAAAATGACCCCAACTACTGAGTGGCTGACTAGAGAGAACAAGGCTGACCAAATAGAAATTTACTAAAGGTTGACAAGAATTATTTATCACAGAAGAAATTATCTGGTTTAATCATGCTCATAATATTGATACCAGTGGTTGGAGCGTGATTCAACCGTTGAGGCCACTTATACCGTCGCGGGCTGTCATGGACACACGCGCGTGGCTTGAAAAGATTAAAGCTGCCAAGGCCACTTTACTGATTGAAGATGGTCGGTAGAATGTATTTTTCTTGAACCAAGTTGCTACGCTTAGTATTTTGTTGCATGTTTTTTAACGAACTTGTCCGTATATCCGGGGTATGAGTGTTGAATCATGCATGATGCACCCCTAGGGTTGCATTAAAATTGCTTGCTAGCCAGTGAGCAGTTTTGAAGGAAAAACAACGATGCTTTGGAGCGTCTTCCTGAGGTTCGAAACATCTGATATTTAGTTCGTTTTGCTGTGTTACAAAACTTGATATGTGATAAGCTGTTTTCATTTGTTTGGAAGTGTGCCATTAAGGGGCTTCTTTTCTCACGAAAGGATACGATATGTTGATTGATAATAAGAATGGGTTAGGCTAAGTCTGAATTTGTGACTGGTTGTGGTAACTGCCATTCTACATCAGATGATTAGACTGGTAGGCAAGTCGGGTTATTTCACTACTTGAATCTCGTTTTAGCTGCCTAGACGGTATGACTGATTGGAGCTCATGTATTTCTGTGGTGTCGGATTCGTCGATAATGCTCTCACAGGTTATCTTCACATACCTGTTGGTTAGGTCCTAGATTTATCATCTTGGTTTGTATTTTTATTGTACTTTGTAGTTTGTCGTCATCGACTTCTCAGAGTACCATGATGAATAAAGATATTTTGATCAAATGTTTCTACAACGAACTTTTTCAAACCGATTTTATCTTACTATTAAGTGGTTATAGGTACCTTGAGGATTATCTTTACAGAAGAAATCTAACTATTATGGATATACCTATTAACCTAGAAGCATGAGTGCAAACATTTAGCTTCAACACTCATAACCAAAGTTCTTGACGTAAAATGTACGCTTGTTTTCGACGCCAATGAATTGGATCTCAAGCGATAATCGTACCAGTCAGCATAATCCATTGGGCTATTGCGATATGTAAAGCAGGCTGTATCTGCCCAGGTTTTATACTTCAGGGGAGTTATACTACAAAGAAACTAACGTTTAATTCTGAATGCTAGATAGATCTTCATTGTTTGTTGCATTCTTTTGAAACTAAACCATAAGTTACAGATTACATTATTACAACTTCTAGGGAGGCGGAAGATCCATTTCTTGTTTCCCGAAGGAGAAGAAATGGTTGAAGAATATGACACATCCAACGATAACCTACTGAGTAAGTGTTGTTGTATTTTAATTTTCAAATTCAACAAGCTAGGAGATGGAGAAAGAAAACTGTACTTGGTGGTGATGGATCTTGGGAGATTGAAGTTGGGGAGCCGACGACGAGTAGAAATCAATTTTCGGATTGTATAATGGAGTCTTCTCAAACTGTATTCTCATATTCTATTACCTGAGTTACAAAAAGCCCTTGTTTAGTCGCAGCGATGTTGCCAATTCATTTCAGTGGCGAGTACGTAATTTGCCTTATCCATTGGACGTGTACAAAATTAACATTGAAGATGAGGCAATCGTTCTAAGGACGACTAATAAGAAGTAGCTTTTATTGTTAGATTTGACTAAAATCCCAATTCAGATATTACAAGAAGTTCACCATACCGGATATGATGCGAATGGGCTTGCCACTGGACGAGAAGTCGATTACACTAAGTCATGCAAACAACACACTCATTATTTCGGTTTGTTGAAAGTTTAGATTAAATATCTCATTTTAGTATAAAAAACCTGATAAAGTACTGGAAAATGAAAAGGCACTAAGACAATATGTAAAAACATTGAAACCAGTGGAACAAAATGACGACTGTAAGACATCCTAGTCAATCGTCACTTACTGTTTTCTGTAACATTACTTGGTTTTGTAAATCTAATTTTTGTATCTGTTACTTGAATTAATACTTCATCTCAGAAATCGATAATTCCATTCTACCAGTACCTACCGTCGAATTCCGAAATAAGATTGATTAATACGTGGAGTAAATTTCATTTACTACATAAGTGTAAAATCACCCACCATTATGAGTTTAAAAAAAGCGCTTATTAATTCTTTATGGTGATAAAGGCAGAGCTCACTTCGTGATCAGATGTTTAGCATGTGGTTCATACCGCAGCCACATGGTAGCTTACGTATTTTGTGGTCTAAATTCCTTTTTGTAGATAAAAACCGTGAAACAACGGATACTGATGCAAATGTTACATACAACTAGTTTAAACTAATTCAAAACTGGAGATTTCTCCACCATATGGCATCAGGAACTTGTTAAGGTACTGTGGTTTTACAGTGCATGTTTAGAACATGGTGGGTGGTATCAGGTTAGTCAGCGAAAATAAGCCTTGGTTAGTTTTAGGAGAGTTCGACACCGACATTCGATAGGAAAAGTACCCATCTACTCAGTACTCTAGGTAATCATAAGAAATCGGGAGATGATGAGTTTTCGCCTCTCCCTCGTGTTGAGCAAATCAATACCGTTAGATTGGATTACTTCTTGATCTATTGACGCAGACACTGGAAGATTCCTAGGCATAGACGTAGGAAAAGCAGTCGTTGATTCTCATTGTGACTTCTGTTAAAGTTCGAAGGATTTAGTCGGCTGAGTCTTTTTCACATATTTCGTTTGATTTTCCTTTGAAGAGAGACTAGAGGGTTTATGGTCAGTGGGTTTTTATTTACACTGTTTTCTGCCAAATCGGCTGTGAAAAGTCCTTCTACGGTATTGGCCGCAACGTGATTTGGAAACTTCAACACTACAGAGTACCCCAAAATTTATCAACCTCATTCAGTGACTATATGCTGATTGCACATTTCATGTGATTCAGCTAGGCCTTTGAAGCAAAGACAGGAGTAAGGCAAGGCTGCCTACTTTCACCAATGATGCTCCTGATTGTGGTGGACTGTAACGTACGGGGAGCGAGAAGACAGGGCTGACAAGAAATCTTCAGGAGATTCGGACTTTACGGACGATTTATGTCTAATGTTACACAAACTTCAAGACCTGCGCACAGAAGAAGCAGCGAAGACAGAATTCCAAGTGAACATAATTTAGACAGAGGTGATGGAGATACCTAACCAACAACGACAAGTCAGTGTAGAAATCTATTGCACTAGGCATAAAGAAGATTGGGATTTCCAACATTAATGTCAACTAAAAGATATAACCACAAACTTGTAGTCACCCGACTACATAATGGGTACGGTGGTTTGGTCTTCTCACAGTTTAAGGCAGGGGTAAAAACAAAGATTACTTTTTATTCACCCAGTTATGTTTCTTGAAAAAGGCATTAGTTGAGTGTGAATTTATTCCAATACATAACATGCAACTTAATCATGTTGAAAACATAGTGTTGGCAATAACTTGTAAGCTACATAACTTAATCCTATTATTAAAAGGCAATTAACAATTTACGTTTGGCTACATTAGGAATCGTGGATAAAAGCTCTCCACCCCTCTATTTTTATTGTAACTCTGAAGGTATATTTCTGTTCAGCGCGGTTCTCTTACATTTTCTCTTCTCTACTTTTGCATACAATGTCCGTAGTGTTACCATTTGAAATGCTAGTGTTTTATACAGAGTTCAGCAATAAGTCAGTAGGAAAATATGGTAAAAATCTAGAATTTCAAAATACTAGACAAGATAAAATGTTAGTTTTAAGGCTATTGTGAAGGTTAGACGAAACAAGCAACTTATACCACTGAAATCTAGATATTTTGGTCTCATGTGTTAAAAATCGCATTCTATTTCGACAACCTCACACTTCATTACAACGTAATCCAATCCCCGCCAATAAAATACACCTTGTGTGCTTCAGCCGATGTGTACTTGCAGCAGAGATGCATTTTATTTCCAGGACTATACATGCCGTTACCAAAGACAGTTGTTCTTTCTTCCGGAAGACTCACTATAAATGACTGACCCGTCTGATGAAATAGTATCCCAGATAATAAAATACTATAAGGTACCTATCCCAGAGAACTCACTGCTGATTGATCTTAAAGACAACACTCCGGGATACCTAAAGATTGTTTGGGAAAACTGTCTGAGACGGATACTCTGTAAGTAATTTTATGAAACAACTGGACATGGTAGTTTCTTGTGGGGATTTTTCTATGATATCTCGAAACACTTCTCTCAAGAACCTTCATGCTTACTATACACGTCCTGTTTTCCGCTTTTTTGTCTCGAAAACTGATTTAGACTTAAGGACAGTTAGGTCACGACGTTGATGCGTAAAAATATAAGAGCTGTCTGTTGCTAGTATCTTTTCATGGATCACGATTCCACCTACAGAGTAGGTACAATGATGTGATTGGATACATATCATCCTGCAGCTTCTTTTCTGGATCTGCCTTAGAAAATATAAGAAAATTGATTAATACTTTGTCGGATATGCTTCTCAGCCCACTTTTCTATTTTGCAACCCTATCCAGTTTTTGTTTTTAAAGTTTTCAAGAGAGAACGAAACAGAAAAGGATGAAATTACAGTTAGATACTAATAAAAAGTATTTAAGGATATGACTTTAGCAAATGTTTATTGAAGATGGTATCAGAAAAACAAAGGAGTAAGCTGAAAGTTATTTGCGTCATATTTAAAATACTTATTGCTTTCTGAATATCCTCCAATAGGCACATTTACATGATAAAAAAGAACAATCGATCACATCAGCCAACAAGAAATCACGGTTATCAAATTATGTACCTGTTTTAAGACCTATAATAGGTGTGAGAAATAACATTTAACTAAAGCAATAAAATAAAAATTAGGTGAATAAGTAGTGTATATCCGTATGAGAAATGTCTGATCTCATGCAGAAGATAAATGAACAAACATGCAATTAAATACATACTAGTTGAATTATATTCATAAAATTATATGACGCAGATCACCAGCGTCATTCGCCTCACAGTTAAATATCTGTGTCTGAAAACGGAATGAATCATTGCCAACCGTGTAAATTACGAACTGAAAGAATAAGCAATCGATGTTTCGTATAACGAGTGGTAGGAAGACAGTGGATTTAACGCTTTGTGACGTTGACACCAATCTGGCTAGAATTTTGAGAAACTACCGTAAAAGAATTATTGTTAAGAGAAGGATACGTTTTTGATTCAATATTTGAATTGATTGGCGCATCACCTGAACCAGATAACCGGAGCTGTTCCAACTTCTTCCAAAGTTCTTCACGCTCTTTTTCACGTTTCCGTTCTCTAGGAAAAGAAAAAACGAATGTGAAGCTTAGTGTTAATGCCTACTATACAAGTAGCTGGGAACTATACGTCACGCTTGATATCTGGGAATTCACATCATATATCGCATTTGAGAAGAAATGATCCCGTGGAACATGGAAAACCCAGCAATACTACAGACAGCCAGGTTCCCAATATTATATTTTTGTTTCAAAGGATGAAAAATTATGTGGTGGAATGTCAAGTTGAAATGCACAATAGTATCATTTTAATTAGCTTAGTGACACTACATGTCTGGTACATTTAGAGCTAGATCTCTATATTTATTAACATCTGGTGATCCAGAATTGCTGCTGAGGATGACGCCTGCGTTGCCATTGAAAGCCGACAGCAAGGATACCTAAGAAGACTGTATTTAAATACATAGATGCGGTTTTACATATCCTATTCTTGATCACGATTATTACTGTGAAATTTCATACAACTAAGAGAGCATCACTATATACCCGCAGCAATGATGAGTCATATAGTTTCTCACCACTATTCAAATGAACTGTATTCCGAGTGCTCAGTTAGGAAGAAGAGCGTTTTGATGACATGATAGTAGGTGTTTCAGCATGTAGTGAAATGAAGTGCTTGTGTTAAATTTATTAAATTTTCACAAAGACTAAAATGCATGAAACACATAAATGTCTTTGTTCATGCCAAATGTAATATTGTGGCGCAGAGGCCAATATAATGGAACACATCACTAATAAAGCGTTAAAGAGAAATAAGAGTAGTCAGCAGTAATGCTAAAATCCTCTGAGAAACTAATTAGGGGAGCGGTGAACTTACTAACAACACTGAACAGTGGAGACAGAATTAATAAATGAAATACTAGGGATGCCTGGTGTAGTCACCTTTATTTAGCATTATTACAGATAAACTAACACGTGATTTAGCGAAAAAACTCCTTACGGTGTATACATTCACTTAGCTGTACAATCATATGAAAATATTTTTGTATGTATGTGTATACATTCAGTCTGCCAAAAACATTGCTAAAAATGTAAAAATAATTTACCTTGGAATATGGTTTACATCATCAATATATTTAGAAGCAGGGAATATTAATCATATTGTAACTAAAAGTGTGAAGATCAGTAGTGTTGAATGTGTGTTCAATTTTAGCATTCTATATTGACTTATATGAAAAGCTTTGATTTATGCACGCGAGAGAAACTTTTCTACCCGACCCTTCTCCTTTGGACATCATTCTAAGCTCAACAGTTATCAATGTTTTGTTATCACTTCATATTCTTTCGTATTTCTGGTATTTTAGCTGTTAGCATCATTTCCGTAACTAACCTTTGTTCACTCTGCTCACCCGTTACGTGATATATTTCGACGCTTGTCTTAATGCTTTTCCTGTCAACACCCAACTTTTCGTATCAGTCAACCTTCTGTCCAACATTACTGATCTCTGCACTTTCAGTTACAATCTGATTAATGTTCCCTACTTCTAAATATTTTGATGATGTAAACAATATTCCGAGATAATTTTATTTTTTAACTATGTTTGCAAACTGAGTGTACACATATACATACAAAAATACCTTTACATGAATGTGATTGTACAGCTAAGTGAATGTATTCACGGAAAGTGGTCTTTTCGTTGAAGTGCTAGTCCTTATTTCCATGTCTATATGGGTATTTTTCGGGTAATAACTCATCTCAGTCACGTGATTTAGTGAAAACACATTTACATATAGGATATGGGGACCTGGAAGTCAATTACAGTTACAATTTCAAATGCATAAGTCATTTTCTTGGGGTTCAAGTATAATATTCTGCTAAAATCGTATCTTAGAGTGTTTTAGGAGAAAATCCCCAGCTTACATATTTCTTACCTCTGACGTTCAACTTTGTGTTTTTCAGCCAACTGATTGCACAATGTGGAATTCATTTCCATGAAGATTTTCAGCACATTTCCGACTAAAGCTACTATAGTTTGGTTCCAGTGTTCACGTGAAATACGATAAAAAGAAGGGAACAATATAGGTATTAGAGTGTCATGATTCTCTTCAATAAGGGATACTATGTTATCATTGTTCCAGTAGCTTAGTGCTCGTTCAGCTACCTGTAAAAATAAATGAAAACAAAAGATTTGTAAAGAAAACACTAAGTGCATAATCACAGTGGTTAACATGATGAACACGAAAGTTAAACTGCCTTGAAGAAAGTCAGGTTCGTTATAACTTTTCAGGAAATAAAATTGAAGTACTTGGCATGACAATTCGACTGTTACACAACAACTCTACAGATACCTAACACAGCATGAACAAGGAAGAAACGCCGTATGATATTGCTACAACCGATATCAGAAAGTCTTCCGCAAACTTGAAAAATGATAAGCAATAGAACTTACCTCTGAATGTTTTCAAGTGCTAAGGAATCGTCAGCTGATTAGCTGAAGAAACAAACGTAGAGCTTTTTATAGATGTTCAAAGTTCCACACTTTAAGGAAATTAGAAAAGAAGAAGATGGCTGACTTAAGGCATTCTAGCTCAAGAAAATAGACTGGTTATCTATTACAACTAACATAGTCTCCATAATCTACCAAAAAATGAAGAAATCAACCGACGATATTTTGATCCCCGTTAGGTTTTACAATGCAGACAAACTTGCATCAGGAACTTGAAATCAGTATTTATTTGGGGGCCACAGTTGACTGTATGGACTGACAGCATCAGAAGATATGCTAAGGTAACTGCAGGAGGCATTGAAATAAGAAAGCCAATCAAGAAAGCTACTCTTCAGAGTGTGTAATCTATCTGTATTTGCAAAGTAGGAGCAGCATGAAAACAGGATAAAGCATCCAACTATCTTATAAGTAGATTGATAAAACATTTTTTGCCATTTCATAGAAAATAAAATAAAGCTAACAATTATTACGTGCCTCAAAATGTTTTGTAGGTTGGTCAGGTTTTTGGGAAGTAACAGACTAGGTCGGACATTCAAAACGCAATGAAAATTAAATTTATTCAACACGACTGGAAATACCTGGATATTTTTTTGGTTCTTTGACCTTCTTAATGCGCGGCAGTACTGAAGAAGCAGTTATGAATAAATACGACAGCAGAATTCTAGATGAGAATACTAAATGATATAAGTAAAATGACTCAGGTTGTCTGATACTGCTTGAAATGTTGGTCTAAGGAAAAATATCACTAATATGCTCTGAAGTAGGCTGTGTATGTCCGACCCAACTTTTCCACTACAGACGGTTTCAAGCTCTGTTATCAAGATAACATTTTGCATATATCACACTATAAGAGACGTACGTTATACGAGGACTGATAACAGTAACTAATCGCTCAGGGTTAAACAGGTGTGGTTGAACTCGAACACGGGACTTATTGCATGAAAGTCAAATCTTTGAGTTAATAAGCCATATTTTCACTACTGAACGAACTGACTGACTGGTATCAAAACAGAACTTTGCATAGAAGCGCAGCAGTATAAGTTGCCACACTCCATATAGTACATAAAAATGACAGGAGAAAAACGAGATTCGAAAGAATGGTAATCAGGAGGAAAGGTGAGGGATGAAGGAAAGTAACGCGGTAAAACAATAAGGTTTAATGGATATCGCGGATTACAACAGAGTGAATGCATCTGAAACTCTAAGAATGATTTTGATCGATATCGCCAACTGTACGCAGTCACTGGTTCTTAGCATCTCCAGGATACCAATCAGGAAGTCTACACCTCCCTACATGGATCAAACTAATTGCCAAAGATTTCACGGACTGATTCCAAGTTTTGGGTGGACAACCATTAGCTCTTCCAACCTAATCCCACGTATAAACTAAAGAGAACGTAGGGCTCCGTTCTATCAGTACATGTTCAAGAAAAACACTGGTGAAGTCATCGTGACCATCAAAATCTATCGAATCCCTTATAACTGCTTTACACATAAAATTAAATTTAAACATATATGCGGCCGGAGCAGTCAAGAATCTCATGTTTGTATGATGACAGCATTTGTTTACTGTGAATTCAGATGTGAGATGGGATGGTGGGAACATCAGTGTCTATTAATCATATACTGACGACATTATAATAATAGGCCAGGGAATGTTAAGGGTGTTCAAAATGTGGGTCACTGAACAAAGCCGTTTCAGCGCATGATATGTGTGGCAAACGAAAGTTGGATAACTGGTATGCGTTTTAGCGAAACTGGTGCACTAAAATATAATCGGTATTCAACAAAAGTTCATTGTTTCCACTTATTACTTGTTTCATTCCACACAATGATCTTAATCACTTATTGTTTCACACAGTTTAACTGAATGACCATACTGAATAAAAATGAAACAATAATATTTGCCAGACATGCAAAAATTTCAAAAGGTCCTAATAATCCTTCAATAACACTTAATCCTGCATCTTCTGAAAAGTGATTAGACAATATATTTAGTATTTGCCATACATTGATCACCTTGACATACTTAATGTGCGAAGAATTTCTGTGATCCCGTGTTTCTAATTCACCGTCACTTGATTGTATTCCAATAACGATGTCATAACATTACAACTTCGTTTTCGACAACGCCTGATAAATTTATTGCCATGGTAAAATGTTAAGGGAATTTGCTTGTACAAAGTGTATGTACATAATTTAGTGGGAGGGTGAAACATTTGATTAAGTTGCTATATCAACGATTTACCTGAAAGACAAAAATTACGTCATTGCATTTTTCAGTGTAACAGGTTGAAAATCGGCTGATACGTGGCAGCATAAGAACTCACAGAATACTATACGAAACCTAATGACTACCGAGAAAGTCATAACACAATTGCAGTGAAACACAAATATCATAAGACAAGAAGAAAGAACTTATGACAACAGGAAATACCAACACTAAAGTGTGACGAATGACAAAACCATTGTAATTGCTAAATAAGACAAGGGTAATTCAACTGTGCTGGTTATGGACAGATTGCATTATATCAACAAGGTCAATGAACATATTAAAACATGTTTATTTGTGGAGATTAGAAAAGCTGTAGACACGATTATAAGATCAAAAAATCTACAGTTGACCTAGTACGCCGAATGAAGTCATTTTTGGGCGACTCAAAGTGGCTTGATCTAATGTTTGGAACTATTAATCCTAGTAGCAGAAATTCATAGAACAGGACACTGGAATAGGCAAATAGTTGACTTTAGGAACATCCCGGTATATGAGTTATCTAAGTATTTAGCATCAACATTGTGTCTCAACAGTGATCGGCCATATTTTGGGCCAGCTAATTCATAAGTAATGGAACGGAGGCTAGAGGAAATTCGAATAGAATAATATGAAGAAAAATGATTAGTTTTGACGTAACCAGTTTGTACACACAATATCAGAATTATTGTAGCTCTCGTGGTAGTTAGAAATGAACTGGACATTGGTCATGAATTCGAACAATAGGACTAAGCTCACAGTGAAAGAAATAGTATTAAATGTTCAGTTATTTCTAACCCACACTCTATTCGAATTTCAAAAGAAAATATACAAACAAACAAATAGGGTGACAATAGGATCACCAATTTCCCCAAAAATACCAGACAAATTTATGAATATTTGGGAACGTAAAGCTCTTAGAATGTTTAATCCTTCACCTAGGTTACAGTGAAGATTTGTGGATGACACATTCACTCTGTTGAAATCTGAACATATTCCTAAGTTCTTCACACATAGAGTCAGTGATAGATGCAATGCAATCCGGTTGTGAGTTAAGAAATGATCAAAGTGAGTTGTCTATGCTAGACAGTAGAATAAAACAAAATCAAAATAGTGGATTACATACCAGCACCTATAGAAGACCAACAAACACCCAAAATCAGTAAACGTAAGCCTAGTTAAACGTTTATATAACGGAGGCAGGAGCCTAACTAGAAAGTTATAAGATTTAAATAACGAAATCGAAAAATAAGGAGAACTTTGTTAGTAAATAACTATCCGCCAGAATATATTCAGAGATGTATGAAGACGTAGAAGAAGAATGACAGCAACTACGAAAATAATATTGAAAGCCTCGATAGTGCTGCCACTCACATAAATAAGGAACATCAGAGGCCCTATGCAGGATTCTTAATAAGGCTGGAATTGCGGTGGCATTTAAACCAGCCAGCCCAATTAGAGACTGATTTTTTTGGCTTAGAGAACCAAATGGACCAATCAGGAAAAATAATATAATTTACCAAACACCGTATAATGACGGATGTCACGTTAGTTCTTTGTGATACAAATTAGGCCCTTAAGTCTCACAAGGATCTAATCTGAGAAACCTTTTGTTCCCGATATTCGCCAGTGTCCTACCATGACTTCTAAAATCCCGGCCCTTATTCACTTTGCTGACTTAAATATGCAGGGAGAAAGAAGATGATGGGTTTAATCAGACACTCATGTTGACATAGAAATTCTGGATGGCCAAGAACAGTTCGGCGGAATGTCACTCCTTCAAAAGGAGCGAATTGGTTCAACTAATCAGCAAAGGTTTGTAAAACGATACTTATATCCTCCTATTCTATAACCTGACAAGCTCAGATTCAAATAGTGATATGGGCCCTTTTTAACGGAGAAGCCAGATTACAATGCAAATTGTTCCAATGACATTACTAGGACATAGACAGTTCTTCATTTTGCTAGTGAAAACGTGTGTGCATTTGTACCACAGCCTGGTCTAAGTCACTTTGAAATTTATTTCTTCTCTACACTGAAGGGCATCCGATCATAACCCCCACATTCTTTTAAAATGATACCAACATTTTACAAACGATGTTAAGAACAATAAAGGGAGTTATGAAGCTTGAGAACAAACCATTGTAAGGCAACACTGAAGAAATCAGGCTTTTTAATACTTTTAATCCACCATGTTGGAAATGGTATAAATAGAGTTAACAAAATCACAAGTGACTTGGGACTCGTACTGGGTAGTTTTTCCATCATGTCATTGTGGTCTACAACCCAGCAATCAAGTAGTAACAGGTGAAAATACTAACTTCGTTTGCAGTAGTGCCACTGACTTACCACAGGCCCCATATTACGCCCCAAAATAAAACCATCTGCCGAATTTCAGAACTACCAAAGCCACGTTAGGCAAGTGGAGGAACTGAGAAAGCAGAAACCCACTGAAGATTTGCAACAGTTACCTAATCACCGAGAAGAGACTGAAATTAAAGTCAATTTGATTTATACTAACTCTTATAGAGAATTTAAGGTACTGAACTTTTGTTTGAATCTATTTTGCCGACGCAATAGTTTAATTTCCACGGTTTCAAGTTATGAGCAGTGATGGGACGCCTGAGAAGCTTATAACAGACAAGGAAGTATGGTTCGCCTATTTTGCAGGGCTAAGCACAAAAGATTTGTCGAGGCATTTTTTTCTGTTTCAGTGAGATGTTTTATTATCAACCATATCCATAGAAATGACTTAAGAAGTACTGCAGATAGTTTGATAACTTCATGTTTATAAGTCCACACCTGCATGAGGCCTGGATGCCTCCTCAATTTTTCGTCCTGAGATTCTACATTTTGACTGAAGTTTTTGCCAACTAAGTAACTTCAAAGACATAAGAAATCAGGAGAAAAATATCTTTACTCTTCCAGAGGACAGTGGCTAAAGCGTTTGCATACTTTATTTCCCTTTTCTAACTTCACTAATTTCTCTTCCCTCCCATTGTTTCAAGGCACTTCAATACTTTTATAGTCTGCCTAAAAAGTTTCTTTGGTGGATTAAATCTGTCGTTATTATATGACGTATACATATTTAACTGAATTACTAAAGAACGCGATAGAGATGTCTTATTTTCCTATGAAACCCATTGGCATCAAACTAAGCTGAATGAAGTATCTTGTCAACTTATATAATTTCATGCTGACAAGTCAGTCCTACTCTATTTTCTTGGTCTGGTCTACGTTATTCTATTCACTAGAATGAAATCCTCGTCAGCATTATTAATAATTAGCTTCACATCCAAGAACCTCGTGTGTCATAATCGTGTATTTTGCGTAGACATGGATCAGTAAGGCAGTATTTAGTGGAACTACTTATTTATTACGAGTAGCTTATAACGCGTACTCGTTTCTGATGCTTTTTCTAGACATTTTTGTTTCTGCTTCTTGGGTGGAACTATATTTCTTTGCCAACTGAAGACACCACTTCATTTTGAAAAGCCATGTTGAGATTTTTAAAGGATGTAGACGCAAAATATTGTTTACTTCATGTGGTCAATATTAAAAATTGCATAGGGAGGAGAAATTCGTTCGAAGAAAGAAGTTTGTGGTCCACGGGATTTTAGGCTGTCGTGTAAGTTTTTGAGAATTATTACAGACCATCTACTGCGTATATAAAAGGAGGTGACGCCATAAATTACAGAATAACGTTAGAATCAAGACGTTATGGAGACATGACTTACCAACTTCAAGTCATCAAACGGTTTTAATTGAAACGCACTGCTAAACCTGTGGAAGCAAGCAGCGAAAAACTATGCAGTTACTTAAAATTTCCTTAACAGTAGCCGCTTAATGGTTCAGAACAGGTAATTGTTCGAGGTACAATTAAGCAGCTTCTGAAATAGGTCTGCTCAATACATATTCTGTAGATATATATTCTGATAAACGAGTAAATTTGGCTTTTCACTTGTGAAATACTTTTCCATAACAAAAGTAAAGAATCTATTAAACAGCAAATAGTTTAAGTTGAAATTAAATTAAATTTCAGTGTAGAAGTGAAGAAGTTTCTACACTTAAGATTAAAAAAGCGGGTGTATTTCACGTATTTTTTGGGGAAAACGTTAGAAATAATGGTGCCATTCCTTTGATGACAAACTCAGATAATGCATCTGTTCCTATAAAACACCTCAGTACTGGACAAAAGAACTGTTTAACTTGACTTTTAATGTATTTCAAGTAAATAGCAAAATTAAAGACATTTCAGCGAAGCATATTCTCTTTATCGACGAAATCATATTCAGAGGTCATACAATCGTATTTATCTTTATCGAAAACGTATAGTACTCCATTATTTTTTAATAGAAGGGTAACATGACTAATATAATTACTCGGAAGTGTCTTCAAAAGTAAAATTAAAAATTGAAAGTGGAATAATACTAAGCGGTACAAAGGAAGAAATGGTTAGAAATTTGATAAGGTTTAAATTATTTTTGAGTGGGAAGAAAGGCAGTTGAGCGTCCATTTAACATGTGTGAAGAAGGTGAGAAAATTTAGAGGGGAACATGTGAGAGTGATAATAGTAAAGTAGTTATTAAAAATAAAAGCGAACTAATTGTTGAAAAATAAAAAAAATTACTGGGGACGACTAATGAATAGGTTACGACCACGGTAGAATAAGAGGCTAGACAAACTTTCTCTATTTACAGAGTTGAGGTCTGCGTTAACGAATCGCCAGCACCCCCTCCATACACAAATGCTGAAACCTAAAGCCCCTTCTATAGTTCGGTCTCACCTTATAGATACTTCCGAAAGACGACTCTGGTGGAGCTGCGTGGTCTGAGTTCAACAAACGCTCAAGAATTCAGCTAGTAATTGTCTTGCATTGTCTTCTTCCTGACTTTGCTGGATAATGTCCAGAGATGTATTTGGAAAGTGTGTGCTTTGTGCTGCCAATATAACTAGTTCTGCAGGAGCAGGTGAATTTACAAGCAGTGAAGTCGTTCAAAGTGGCAGTTTACCCTCGGCACATAAGTTGATTCTTTTCCCACTGTAGAAATTAATCCGTAGCTAAGCCAAAAAGAAGACTTTTCTCAGCAATCGGTACAAGCGGTTCTATAGAATCGCAGCTGCGGTATCACCTTTAAATAAACGCTTATTAAAAACAATTTCTTCGGCACTATTTGGGTTCATTCTGGCTTTTTTCGATAAATCTTGAAAGATATCCATTTTCCATTAGGACTTGTCCAAGTTTCTCCAGTTCACCAACGATTGTATCAGTAGTACATTTATTTTTTATTCTTGAAGATAAGAACTGAATCAGATTTCTCCTTCTTCTCGAAGGGCGCAGCATAAAATCACTCTTAGTAATCATTTTGGAAGCATACAAAATACAATGTAGAAATACTGTTACCTACATTAGATGATCTTGAATATTTTAAGATTAAACTTGACAAAATAACAATATCCAAGACATCCAATACTCTTTCAATTTCTTTGAGATGTTTTTGATAACCTAGGGGTAACTTGCTTTAAGAAAAAACTAATCCCAGTACAGCCACACAAAACTGTTTTACATAGAGTGAATATGCGAATATACTTTGCGCGAAAATTCTGATGGTAGACTTTATTATTTCTATTGAATTAACTTCAGAGCACCATAAATTTACTTCTTTAAGTTGAACAGTTCACAAACTGCCAGATGACAGGTTATGAGTACTCAATGATACAACGCTGAACCTCCTTTTACGGTATAGTTCCACCTTCGGGCGATGTATAGGTATGGGTACTACTTGAAATAAAAAATAAGGCTATGCTCATAAATCTGAGTGAAAAGACACATCTTGTCTTCTCACGCCATAATTCAGTTGCTTGGAAGACTTGTCTGAATTAAACCTCATTACTTTTGGAAATAATCTACAGTTCGAAAGGACATACTCTCCTTCTGAAATTTATATCCACATATGTCAGTTACAGTTAGGTTAATAATGAGGGCTATTAGTATCCATTATCTATTGGAAAAGATTGATTTGATGAGAGCTTATCACTGGGATTCAGTTAAGCACATCTCTAGTGATGTTCTTAGCATATAGTCCTAAAGTCTTTCAAGCTGAAGTATTTCCAAAGTGGAGTTAAGCCATTTAGTAAAGACTCAGAAGCTAGTAGTTAAGAGATTAAATAAAAAACAGTAATTATGTGGCATTTAAACGTTGGAACAGTTAACAGTAGTGTAATGAAAGACTAGAGCAGTTAATTTCGTAGTAGAGTATGGAGATGTGTTTTGTGTTCAGTCAGATTACTCAAATGCTAGACCTTCACTTTCATTCCTGAGGATTTCATTGCAGAAAACTTTGAGAAATTATGCTACCTGTTATTTTTCGTATGGTTTCGCGCAAGTAGAAATTATATTAGGCGGCCCAGTAAAGCACAGAAATACGACAAGTCAGTGCTAAGTGATTAATGGCATATCTCTATGAAAATATATGAACCACTGTATTTTCTCACCAAAGTTATTTTCATCACACATTATTCACTTGTTTTTGCTGATGTAAATTTTTGGTTTTTTTAATGGAGAGTGCTGTTTGTGTTTTTAGAATACCACAGTTAACATGGATTCTACTCAATCCTTAGATGAAGAGGCAGTTGGATTTATAAATATACCTGGAAGAGGAAAACTGCAAACACAAATTTTCGAAGTACCACTTATTACATTATTTGAATTTGATTTTTAGACAAGGACTCGTGTTCACTGCTACTTTGATCCAGATGAAGCTACATGGTTAAGATTGCCGATTATGTGGGAACTTAACTCTCCCGTTGTTATTTACCTCATCAATTTAGTTAAGGTGACTGTCTTCAATAATTAATTTAATGTACTGTTTAACTGCATTAAAAAGGGAGGTTCAAACTACTTTTTTCTGGAAAATAGTATTTAAACACTTGACTACAATATCTGGTTAAATAATTTTTGGGGCTATGGTCTACTAGGGTAACAGTATTCACAGTGTGTTTTCTACAATAACTGCTTAGGTATTCAAGTTATTATGGTGCCACTGTTTTGTATAGGTGTTGAATTTGGGAGTAATGCAGATTTCAGCAAATATATGTGATTGTCATTCAGAGTGAATAGTATCCAGTCATCTCTTACTGGTTTCATCAAAATCTTTTCTAAACTGTTTCTTGCACTTTTCATAGGTTTCACCAATGATAGTGTCATCCTTCTCAATTCTTTCGTATTTCATTGATAAGATACTCGTAATCGTATTGATGCAAACTGAAACCTGGGAAAAATAGGTTCGTGATATAACTAGGGTTATTTTTATTTTACCTCCTGGTGTGTCATGTTGAAGTTTTCTGTCAAAATGATAAAATGTTACATACCAGCAATTCTAGTTTATAGCTTGTCAAATCGGATTATACAAAAGAAAATATATCAAAAGTAATGATATAGGAGCTCTATATTCCTACCTTGAGTGCGCTGGAAAACAAAAGCCATTAGATTGTAACCAAATGGTTTAAATGCTCAGAATCTGGTGATCTAATGTTCGATTGCAGTAGAAAGTCACGGAAGCCCATATCTGAGTAGTTCTTATTCAGGATTAAGAAGATCTCCATTTTTCCTTGGCCATGAATTCTTTTCCAACTGAGGTGGACAATCCATGGAAACTTCTCTAGGTGGAATTATTACTCTTAGTTCGTCCTACTAAATAATAATTTCTTCAAAAATAAATATCCCCAGTTGAAATCATCAAATACTTGTTTATAGTTTTTCGACATCTAACTTGTGTACTTAATTCATATTGTTGTCAACATTACCTCTTAAGTGAACGTGCATGAAAAAGAAGTGAATTTTGGATTGCCTTTAATCGAATTGGGTTTGGCTGAATATTATGTATATATACATACCAAGACTTTAACAGAGACAAGATCACTAGAAATAATAAAACCACTTTGATGCATGATACATTGAAACCGGCGAACAGTTGTGCTTGTTACTGTTAAAGCAGTGTCGAAATTCCTAGGCTTCAATTATAGTATCATGTGGACTGACATTGATTACATTGATACTGAAACATCTGAAAGCTCCTACACTGACAAGCAGTGCGTTGAGGAGAAAATCTATAACGAGACAGAAAATGATGTTAAAAGGTTAACGGAAACCATGCGTGGTGATTGAAATTGAAATCAAAAATTATTCTTGGTAGGATTCGAACCAACTAACTACAGATCAGTAGTCCAATGTTCTATCACTTGTGGTACTGGAATGTGCTACGATAACCAAGGGGTTTTCATCAGAGTTCAAAACTACTTCACACAGTAGAAAATATGCAAGTGTGACTGGAACTCATTAAAAATAAGACAGTGGAGAAAAGATATACATATGTGTGCCATCAAAGTAAGAATTTATCCCTACTGCTGTCTGAGTAGTTTTCTCTTGAAGTCTTTAATCAAAATTGCAGGACACCACAGAGGAAATCTGCAGCCTCCTTTAACTATCAAATCAACAAGAAGTACATTATATCATATGAATCCTCTAAGTTCACTGCTTTGAAATGAACCGAATTTTTGGCGTAGATGTTTGCAGAGATGTCCATCATTTCAAGTTGCCAAACTTCATAAAGCCCACGTAAAGGTACAAAAAACTATAATAAAGGGAAATGAATGTGTACAAGAATGATTAAATGAAGAAAAATAGATAGCAAAGCATGAACGCATTAGCGCCACTGAGAACGATTTTGGGTCATGTCACTAAAATCTCCTGCCATTGGTTGGTAGCATTCGGAAGACCTCGGCTGAACAAACTACACATCGATAACTGACTCAAACCAACGGTTAGAGACCTCATAGACTATCTTGGTTTGTCCACCCGCAACTCTTTTAATTTAATCCGATGTCAGTTGACTTTGCTCAACGTGTAATGCAATAGCTTGGCTATGCATAACTCAAGTCATAGCCATCTAGGTCGATGGAGCTTCACAAACCCATCAATCAGTTTTTGTTCTTTGCCTAACAATCTACTCCCAACTTCAAAATTGCTGACTACATTATACTACCTATCACTAGAAACAGAACGCAAACACTTAGGTTAAAGACTGTTAGTCTCTTCAAATCCTCCACTTTCAAAAGACATTACTGTCGACCATAAAGAAGGACGGAGCAAACTACTGCATAATGCGTACCACCTCTTATAGACAGATAGCGTGATGTCATGTCCAGGCCAAAGATTTTGCAAGTTACTAAGTGGTACATACATCTTTTCTATCTGAGCTGAGATCTCATCATTAATCAGTCCATTAGAGCGGATACAACTTTTTTTGATTACAGCTTGATTCCACACCGTTTTTTGGTACAAGCATGGAATTTTCAGCATGTGATATCGGTAGCCCAAATTTTGCAGGCCGACCATTGATATCAGGTATGCGTCGGCAGAGGATCGAACCCCGAACCATGTGCATGGTCAGCGAGAGTCCTAACCACTGTGTCACCGACGCACACTTCCATTATTATAATTATTTTGGAATCAAATAAAAGTAGGAACATTTGGTATCTGAGACGGATGGAATAATCAATCAATAGGCTCATAATTTTCAAATTCCTCTTCAATATTTACTGTTTAGCATAAAAAGCGCGTTGGCGAAACTGAATAATTTGTAGTCACAATGATATTATGTAATCTTTTCCTCAAAATAAGAAATTAGCAAGAGACAAGAAAATGATGCTACTTTGTATACTTTATCTATATAAATTCAGAGAACCTAACTGGTTCCATTTGCAGAGATGCGGAAATCAATCATGAAATTATGAATAAAAATCGACTATCAGCACTTAAATTCAATGGGATAATTGTTTCTAATTTCCGGTTTAATTTTAATCATATGTATTCAAATAGTCAGGCAAAATGCTGGATGACGTCAGCAATAAAATGTTGTAATAAATGTATTTCTGTGTAATTCACTTATCTGTCAGTTAACTACATCATTGTTTCTATTACTGAAAGGATGTCTGTCCCAATTGGAGAGATGATGCTGATATCCTTGCAGCCTTACGCGTGAGCAATTACAATGTTGATGATTGTGTAAACATTTATCACAGTACTATTGGCAAAAGTGTTTCATCAGCTGGAGAAGAAAGTAACACTAATCTCACAAACTCTGCTTGTAAAGTTGGGAATTCGGATTTCGCACAGAGTGGAACACCGAAAATTTATGATCATAATTATTATGAATTAGTAAATGAAGTAGAAATTCTGGTAAGTATATATTCGAAGAGATATAAACATCTTGTAAATATATTGGTTATGCATTGTCAAGGTGGTGTACAAACAGTTTTCACGAATTTAAACTTCAGACTATGATTTTTCAGTCTCGTCAATAATCATTTTAGAAATGCTATTAATAAGCGACCCATTTTATACGAATTAAGTTATTCAACAATGCGACGCTAGTGAATTTTCAGATGGTAATTGTGGATCTACTGTTTCATATTGTGTATTGACTAGACACCATTAAGTTGAATGAAATCGAAATAATTGGAGGTTTTAAGTGGTCAACCAAAATTAATTAAAGTGGAATTTGGAAGTGACATCCCTATTCAACGACCAAGAATTTTGTTACACGAAACAAGCTGCTTCATGTTTAATCTTTCAAAACTAATAGGGAAATAACACTTCCTCTTAATTTTCAACTGTTAATTTGCAGAGATTTGATTAGTTGCAAGTTAGATTACGGATTGATATCAGTTTGAGAACCACTGATAACCAGGTAGTACTAAACATCTCTTTCGTACTAGTTTGGAACGCCTCGTAACCTGAAGTTTCTGGGCTCAATCCTCAGTGGGGGCATGGGTGCAAACTCATGAAGAATGCCGAATTGTGACGAAACGGGTGTCCAATACTCTCTGGTCTTCAATGGTTCTGTAAGTGATGTCAGTCCATGATCTAGCTTGAAGCCTCCTTTTTAATTTATAAGTTTACAGCGTATATTACTGGGCAAAATTCACAGTAGTTGGACGATATTTATGGAAACTGAATAAACAGTGGATAGAAAATAAAGCAAATATGATATGGTTATTGTAATTCTATGAGATGGCTGAAGAAATTTTTACTATTAGTTATGTAACCACAGATCTGTCTGTCTGTCTGTTTTCAACATAGAACTTTACACATATGTGCGGCAGTTCAAGTCGCCACACTCCATGTTGCACACAAAGGAAGAGAAGAAAGTAGGAGAAATGCATAATATAGACAGAAAACAGAGGTGTGAGACAAAGGAATAGTAATAATGAAGAACAAAACAGTTTCATTGAAAATCATGAGTCACAAGGAGTGGATGCATCTGCGCCAGCCATTGAGAACGATTTTGAGCCATGTCACCAATTGTTTCCAACCATTGGATTTTACCGTCCCGAGGACCCCAACCAGGAAGTCTACACCTTCCTACGTGGCTTAGACTAACTGCTGTAGGTTTCATTGACTGGTGCCATGTTTTCGTTTGACCACCGCTAGCTCTTTTCCAGCCTGACCCTATATCAGCTAACATTGCCCATTGTCGAGGAAGGCGATGACTAGGCATACGTAACACATGTCCTAACCATCTCAGTCGATGTAATTTCACAGTTTCGTCGACTGATTTCCCCTCCTTACCTAGCACTCGACGCCTAACTGCAATATTGCTCACCTCATTGTACCACTTCACATGGAAGATAGAACGCAGACACCAATGATCAAAGACAGCTAGTCTTTTCATGTCTTCCGCTCTCAATGGCCAGGTCTCACAGCCATAAAGGAGGACGGAGCGGAATGTTAAGCAGTACACACGCCCTTTGGTTGATAGTCGGATATCACGTCTGCGCCAGAGACGGCGTAAAGTGATATATGAGAAACCGCAGTTCTTACGTTAGATGAGAACAAACTTTAATCCAAGAAAATCCTTATTTATTTAAATGATCTACTTATAAGTCAAGAGAATCAACTTCGCGACAGTCTTAATCATCTGTTTCAACAACATGATTCATCTAATGCATGAAACCTATGACTTTGATGATAACATTGGTCATAAATTTACTGTGAGTGTTGTGTGAAACTACTGTATATTTCGTTTAGCCAATAAAATCAAAAGTTGAAGCAAAGAGGATTGACCATAGCAACGTGTGACCCCTTTAACATTTCCCCTTTACTAATTATTTTTGTCTTTTGTGGACTTGTGAAGTTATTCTCTTTTTTTCAGAAGAAGCAAATTAATAAGATTTCCACCGAACTGCAGCATGAGAAGAAAGCTCATGAAAAGTTGAAGGTAACTATTCGTTATTTATTTATGTCATATTTAAGTATATGGAAACTGTTTTAACATGTTTTTCATTTACACTGCACAATCGTAGTTTGTATTTAGTATTTATACATATATCAGATTAAGGCATGAGGGAACTATGAAGGTTTTAAGCAAAACTTAGTATGATAACATACAATCGACTGAAAACTTTGCACCCAATGTTTAGGAAGCGTTCTTCAGTTAACCAGCCTAAATTATGAAGTTAAATAACTTACTAGCTTTATTGCTTCACTTTTCTGAAAGATCTAATCCGCCCTAGTTAGTCTGTAACTTCTGGAATCTCGCTGTGTGCTCGGCTTTTGTCGAGTTTCGGCTGTTAGGACACTAGCGAAATATCACAAATCCCACAACAGTCCAGGCTTTTCTCACAGGACTGCCTTCTGTTCTTCCCGCTGTTGAGTTACGAAATGTCAGATTGGACGGGAAGAAACAAAAGTTGTTCAAACTAAGACTACGAAATAGTCTCTAAAATCACTGACTGTCTATCTGGAGCATACTGGGAAGTAATTTGACTTGGAGCCATCCGGACGAAAACTTGAATTTATGATTTGAGTCTCTGGATAATATAGCTAAGAAACTCTCTCTCAGTGGTGCTACTTTACCCTGGACTCAATATTTTCTGGTTCTATCTGTTATTTAGCATTGGTTGTCCTCTTATGTCCTGGGGTGGAAACATTACATTGTCTTTAAGGGGAAAATATCCACTTCATTCCTTGCTGAAGTTGATCAGCCTAATGGTGCTGTACTTCCTCCATTTAATTTTCCTCTCTTTTCGCATGACATATTCTTCTGAAGCTAATTTCATTAATTTTGCTGGCTATCCCTAATCCTCTGGTTTCTGTATTAGATTGTTGTCATATAAATAGTTTTTCACTAAACGCGTTTGAATATGAGACTGGTAATTTTAAATTCAGATGTGAGCAGCACTTGTGTATACTGCCTCAAATACGTGATTTATTTTGGTGATTTGACACCCTGTCCGTTTCAAAAACTAATTCATTTGACCTACTAAATAAGGGTGGGTAAGACTTTCTGGTGAAACTTAGTCCCTTCCTTCACAGTTTATTAATTCTTGTACTTTTTCCACTTCTTTTTACTTCTGCTTCTTATTCTTCCCTAGGATTCTCAAAAGCAAACTATCTTATATTACGTAAAATTCTGAAGGTTACTTTTGACCCAAATAACTGTCTGACACAGAACACCTTATTTACTCAAAACTTTCTCCCACTATTTCTCAAGAAAAAAACTAGGAATGATTTCACTGGAATTTATGCTCTTGTGATTAGATATAGAAATTCCACCATAGCCTGTTTAGCACGGGTGCTGTGTAAGTGATGAACGTCAGTACATTATTTTAATTAAAAAGAAGTCATAGATGTTCAAGTTCATTTAGTTTATTTATTTTATCCTAATGATATCCTAAAATTAGTGGTTTATGTTGTTTATGGAGATAAATTTCACTGGGCAGTATAAAAACAGTTTGAGTTATATTTTTTTACAAGTCACTGATGAACTTTTCATTGATTCGGACTGTTTTTTCCTGTGAACAACGTGTTTAGTATTTTTTTCCTTCTATGAAAGTCACGTTATTTTAGGAGTATGTTGACTGGTAAGGCAATGTTGTCCCACGAAAGCCACACACCTTTTACCATATCACAGCCTTCACAAATGGACTCTGAAAAGTCGACATCTATCCTGTGTCTATTTGGTAATGAAATACCAACTGCCCTTTCATCAACTCTGAAGTACAAATTATTGTTAAACTTATTTGTATGCCTTACCCACATAACGACAGAAGCTACTTTAGTCCGTATAATAATTAGTTCGTGAGGTCAGAGTCTTATCAAATGATGTCTACAGTAAGATTGGCAGGAACTTGTGTGAATAAGAATTAGTGGCATTATTATATTTTACTTTTCTGATAAATTTTTAAAATGCATTTAATCAATCGTTGACTTTTGTCAACTTATGACATAAATTAACCAATAGCAGCATAAGTTGTAATATAGTTTTCTCTATATGTCGTCAATAAAAGTTTAGGCTACTGGTAAGGGTGACTAGACAGCTACTGAAGAAGAAGCTATGGCATACACAGCAAAAAGTACAGAAAAATTTGTTTGAATTTCCTAGACACGCTGGGATTATTTTATATAATTTCATAATAATTCATGCGATTCTAAGGAGCTATTTGTTTTTACGTGTATCAAGTCACAACTCCTATTGCATATCTAGCCAAAATGTTTGTATACTTTTGTTATTTATGGAGGGCTTTGAGCACTGAGAACGTGCTGTCTAAAATTCAGTCATAATGCAAAAGAAATGTCAGACAATTTCATCCTATATAGAATACTACGTTGCTATATGAGTAATCCATGGCCAATTAAAACGGAGCACAGTCCAAACAACAGTCTGACCTAACACGTCAAAATTCGACGTATAATATTTCAAACAGTGCAAGTATTATTATTGTTAAAACACAAACTTGGCGCATTATGAGCACCTTGATATGAGCCACACATAATATCTTATGAACGCATAGTCAGATCGAAGCATTTTCAGAGAAAGAGACAAAAGTCTACCCATCCTCGGATGTACCAAGTCGTTTATGTGGGCCAAAAAGTGACACACTAATCTGGTATCAAACGTCTCATTAAAGCATAAAGTATTCAGTTGAAAAATACTGTCCATAGGGAAATTCACTTTCATAAGTCCATTCATTCCGTCATTTACTTGTCGATTACTTCTGTCACTGAAGTAAATAATGATAAAACAAAAAAAGACTTTGGAAAGATAACAAAAGGGTTTAATATATCATTTTTGAACTGATTTTATGTCTATCAAACTATTATTTCACTAAGAAATACTACATAATCAAGAAAGATAGTGTTTAAGCTGAATGCAGTAATTTTAAATGTGATTCAGAAAAGACTTTTAACAGCGCTATGCATTGTTGACAGTTAGAAACGTTTTTCAGTTGTATTTTTTTATAAAGAAAACCTGTGAATTTGGCTACTTGTTTATTTATACATGTACATGACAGATATGTAAAAAATATTGCTATCTAAGATATTCATCTTAGCTATTTACATTACAAATATCCTCTTCCTTAACAGAATCTTCATATTTACTGAATAGTTATTATAACACTAATTTTATTTATTAATAAAGCCTTACAATTTTACTAATAGTTGTTCATTCAGTCTCAGAAAAGTGACAAACAATCAAATAGCTTTAAATTTCAAGGACTTTCAGGAGAAATTCACAGCTCATTTATCAGAACTAAAGAAATTTGTCAAGATGTCAAAGATATTCTGCACGGGTCAAAACACATTTTGGAAGACTTTACTAATACGGTGAGTTTCATTATTTTCTGGTCAAATAAAAGGGAAAGGAATCCGTAATTTAATTAAAACCTTTGGTGGTATCATATGCGTATAGAAAAGTGTTACCAAGAATTTAAAATAGTTTTCAGAAGTTTTCATATGGTTTTTGTAAAACATCCTTAAGATTATCAGATTTTTTAAATTTCAATTCATAAGCACAGTATCTGCTCATAATGATGCATATTTTCTTATTTCAACCTGTACAGAATTCGATTTCTAGCTATTTGTCTTACTGAAAGTTAAACACAGAAAGGACATTAACAGAGGGAATTTCAGTGTTAAGAACTGGGGAAGAAATGAAATCTTCGTATAAATGCTTAGAATGTTAACACAAAATTCTCCAAACAAAAGGCTACTATTTACTCGTAAACATTTTACCTTTTCGAGTGAAATTCATTTCCACAACCCAAAGTACACCTACACCGTAATACTACACTGCTTTTATGTGTGCAGCCTGATTACAATTCATTCATTAAATAACTTGCCTCATTACATAGCTCCACCATTCGTTTACAACTTTTCTTATGTACCGATTACTGTTAACAACTCTGATTATGACATTTCAACTCCCTCGTCACCATCCTCTTTTGTGAAAAATTCGTACATAAATTCAATTGAACAGCTAAAACAAATGAAACCGTTGAAAGGCCCCTCTTCACTGAAATGCTTGTTTTGTTTCCCCGTTTTTCTAAATTTGAATTAAACTGTCTCTACTACGATGTACAATTTAAATTTTCCCTAATATTATAAAACTAACCCAATATTTGTAACTTTGAGACGGACATTTATACTTAGTAAGATACTTTTATTTCAAAAGTTGAAACAGCTTCCAATGGAAGATTAGAAATCTCACAGCTATTACATCCAGTGAAATTTTAAAGGTTTCCATCCAATCAGAAGTCATTTTATCTAGTCGTAAATCTTAATGCTACAACCATAATGCCAAGTACAAACGTGGCATCTGTTGAAATTTCAATATGAATTAAGTTCAAGCAACATAACTTTCAACTTTATTCCTTGCTAAATGATATGCATCATTTTTCTTATAAGCTCATATCACTATTTTGATTAAGGTTATTAATACTTACATGCATTTCAACTGATAGGGTACATTATAGTGCTATGGAGTTGCTCAGAATACAAATTACTTTTTGGCTTAATTACATCTCGAATGAAGGTAGACTTCGACTCCCTTCTATTGAGAACAACTGACCTATAGCTGTGAATAATTTACTAATTATCTTAGATCAGAAAATTCTCATCTAAATAGGTAAAAACTACTACCCTTTTCACTACTTTTAATTTTCAGAAACAACTGTATAATCATTGTTCTCAGTTTGTTGCCTATTTTATTACCTTCAAAATTTTGTTTTCCTTTACTCATTAGTCATTATTCAGTTGTACGCTCTAAAGAAAACTCACCAAATCTATATTAAAGCTTTGAGGTCACGCGTTAGTCAACCAAGGAATTAAAGAAGTCATTCTCATAGTATTCAGGACGAAACTGATTCTTCATGCTATTAAATATTGGAGAGTAAGAGAGAGATTTGAAAGTTGTAGAAAGGAGTTAAACTTAGTTAAAATGACTGCATTACAACATCTTATTTCATCCTTTACTTAGAATATGTTTGGAATTATACTTGTCTTCACCTTACAACATGGATTTTTAAGAAATATTGCAAATGTTTATTTAACCACTGACAAACGCGCTAAAAGATCCCACAAGGTCTACTGAAAATAAATATTCAGTCGAATAAGCTGGTCCTAGCTTCGAGGAATTATAAGATTTAAGAGTGAAATATTCCCGTATCATGAATTAAAAGTCGGTCAGAACAAAGAATAATCGCCTTAATAGATTCTCTTCACTAACAGGTATAAAATAAAAATATTTGTTATCATTATAGTAATGACCAGTTATGTGATAGATATACTTTTACGTAGAATAACATATTAGTTATAAGGGGACAAAACAAATAGTATTTGTGTGACAAAAGTGGTGAACTGAATGCAACAACGAAATATTGCATACTGCATAAATATGCAACAAATGTTCAGTTTCTTTTTAGTAGTGAAACGTACAGACAGGTTGATGGTGTGGCTAAATAATGTCTGTTAGGCACTACATTTGCGAAACTAGAAAATGGTACGTTGACAGGTTGAATAGCGAAAATGGAAGTGTTTTGTTGTTACCTAAATGACGATTTTTCTGTCTACGATAAATGTCTACTTGGTGATTACATTGGAAGCCACTTCAACCTGGTAGTCCATTTCACTTACGAAGGGGAGTAAAATGACTCTTCATACTTCGTCGGTGTTTCACTATCGAAGAGAGAAGGTGGGCCAATTAAAAGAATCATATTAAGAAAACTACAGACCGAGGCCCTACATACATGCTTCCTTAACTTTGTACCAATGAAAAACAGGCGTAATTCAGTCAGATACTTAATTACCAGTGACTGTGTAGAGAAGGAATTCCATGTCATCCGGGATATTCTAAGAGAAAAGGGATATCCAAATAAGTTTATAATAGCGAACATAGCTTACAGCATTCGCCAATATAAGGTGCCGACAGTGGAGAGATAGCCATTATTTTTACGTCCAAATTCAAGGAAGATAATCCTAAAGAGATTCTATCTTGACGCCTAGACAGAGAGGGATTTCTACCCCCGACATTTCTTCCTGTCCTTCAGTAGCCCTCCAATGTTCACCGCGAAACTGAGAAATGTTTTATCCAGTCTTAGCTAATCTTCACATATATACCATTTTAACTTTTCCTGTCGTTTAAATTTAAGTTATAGAAAGTATGACTAGGTATGTTCATCTATGGATTCCAGAACATTTACCAGACTGATTCAGAAGTGGTGAAATCAAATGCATAAAAAGTCCAATTCCATCAAACTTAGTAGATAAATCACACTGACACTAACATAACCAGATGGCACCTAAGTAGAACACCTCCAAACATTGTTCCTACCATGACCAAACCTAGATTAAAAATTTTCCTCTCCAAAGTTTTCTTTTACTCTTATTTTTCTTCTTTTCTGCTTCAACAGACAGTTTAAGTAACAATGATTTATGATTTTACCCTTGATTTTAGAATTCTTCAAATTATATCGAATTTTCTATTTATATGTAAATACACAAAGTATTCTGATTTATTATAAGTGATATTATCTCTTTTCTCAGTATACAACTCCACCTCACTCACTTCACATATTTATTATTTCATGATCAACATTCCGCTTTAGTCCTGCTATCCGCTCTTCAGTTCATAATATCCTGTACTAGCCATTCACCGAGGACGTTTCATAACCTTCAACTGACTGATCAGTTTTATTTCCCCACATTGTATTTATCCATTATGTCTAATCACCATTTCACATTTCACAATATTTAGTATTGCATTCAGTTCAGCCCTTTTGTCACATTAGTACTATTTGTTCTGTCACCTTACAAATAATCTGTTATTTTACGTAAAAATGCATCCACCCCATAATTGGGTATTATTATAATAGTAACACAAATTTTATGACTATAAGTAACTGAAGAGAATCTATTAAAAAGAATATTCTTTGTTCTGACCGAATTTTAATTGAAGGTATTACTAGAAAAGCAATCTAACATTTGGAAGCCCAAAGCAGAAATAAACAAAATTACACTGTTATTCGCAAACTAGTTAAATAAAGAGATGCTAAGCACATGTATTTACTGAATGAATTAATCTTTTGGACATTTTGAATATTTTCTTCGTTTTCTTCAAATGACTATGAGTTACATCAAGAAACTGAAAAAAGACTCCAATACAAAAGTTTTGTCCAAAGATATTTTGCCACTGCTGCTATATTTCGTCTTCAAGTGTCATATTTTTTTGACCACATTAAACGTAGTTTGTTACTACTTATGACTTTAAGCGTCTTACGCAGTATTTCGTCTATTTATAACAAACCAAAATGTTGTCTTCGTTTAGCTATGCCCTCTACTTAGAAAAACCAAACGGTTGTACACAGAACAAAATGAAAGACTCAAAGAAACTAAAGCTGTCTATCGATTAGAGTCACAACAGCGTCGCCTAATATACAACAGATTGGTTGAAATACGTGGTAATATTCGAGTATTTTGTCGTATACGTCCTTCAAATTATATGAACAGCTCACATAGTTGGTTAAAGTGTAATGACAGTGGCGAATTATTGGCTTGCTTACCTAACTCTTCAAAACGTAAATACCAATTCGATAATGTTTTCCACGTAAATGCTAGTCAGGCAGACGTAAGTTTTTAGTTTGTGTTTCTAAATTTCTTGTATAATGAGTTATAAAGAAATATTTCTTCCAGTATATAATACGTTTGATAAGATATTTTTTCGTCGCAAAACATTAATTGTGAAAATGATTAGATACACCGTCACCATATTTATTTATTATTATTTGGTGTTTTTGGGAAATGATTAGCATTCAGGAAATAAGGTCAGTGGACAATAATTTCTAAATCTTAAATGTATTACATTTAAGTAAGGCTTGTATGAAATAAAGGTTCATGCCGTCTTGGCAGACTTGATTATTGCTTGTAGTTTTTCCTCACTAAAGGCCGTATGTTATCTATTTCGTGTATATGTAGTGATATGTTTATTCTGATGAATCTGCTACAAACCATTCTGCAGTGTTCCGAAATTCTGCAACTTAACAACATAATACTAGTATAAAACTTTACACCATTGAACGTACTACTAGAATGAATCCAACTTGATAATCATATGTCGCATTGAATTGATTGAATCTTTAAGAACAAGCAACGATGGAGAACACATCGAAGCCTTTCTAGACTATCTGTCAGCTAAATGAATAGCTGAAGGATGAATATAGTTAAATGTATGTTTTCTGGGAAGTTGTTAACTTTATGGCGAAAAGCAAAGAATTAAGAATGATTCTCACTAAATGGGAAATTTTTTGATGAATAGTTGTATTTAACTGATTGAAAAAAGGCTTTGGGATCACCCCAGATACCTTATATCAACAAGAATACAGTCCTATTTAGATAGCTCATTTCTGTCGACCAGTACTAAATTCAAATCCAAGGAGCTACACTGTTCGGGGCAACCTGTTTATGACTGCATCTCTTCTTAGAACATATCTTTAAAATTCACCTTTGCTTTCGTCCATCCACATGTGTACTGATGAACTTGGATTGATGTAGAGAACAGGCAATATGGAAAACGTAATACACCCGTCCTACAGATGAAAGCAATAAGTTTGTATTTTAGATGTAGGCTAGAAAAATATATGACTCAACATTACTCACTGTGAAGAAACAAAAAACAGCAATTAGCTAGCAGTAGACACAACTGTGAATATGTTTTGTAAAAGCCAGTGTCCGTGTATGGTATTTACAGAAATAATTTGTGTGAATTCTGATTGCCACAGGCGGAAAACGCATGAGAAACCTGATAAACTTAGCCATAAAATAACCAGTTGATTATGATATGATAGTCGGCATAAAAAATGGAGTAGGAAAGAACGAGCACTTTAACTATGACATGACTGATCTTATTATGAAGCTAATGCCAAAGATACTATGTTTTGTAATACGAAGGATATCCAATAATTTCTCAAGACAGATAGCTAGAAGGCCGGTTAAAACAATTTCGAGGGCAATTAAACTGGTCTTCAGCTATGCTTATTTACTGTCCTATTTAATGTCAACCAGAATGGGTTTGTGATTTCTGCCCTCACCATATTCGAGGCTGAAAAGACTGTTGTAGTCAGAAATCATGCCAAGCGAAAGAATCTACGGGCTTGACTCCAAAAGCACATAAGGAAGGTAATAAGAAAGTTTTCACCAGATTAACTGAAGAATTAGCAACCTTTAGCTGTGATGTCTGATATACTCAGGTGATAAAAACTGTACAAATGTAAGCTGTCGTAGAATATTGGAAGACGTATGGGGTGCGGTATGCCCCTATTAGGTGTAAAAACTGGAGCAAGATTGATCCGGAAAGACCCGTAGCTCTACACTAAGGAGTTTAATAGAACGTGCAGACTGCTTGTCTGGTTAGAGGGATTGTACTGTATCACCTAAATTAATTAGTGATGAATTCTCTCCGGAGATAAGAGGTTTGTCTCCGACATTTATCAAATCTCATGACCTTTGAAGGCAGCAGGACAGCTGATTGTCTACTGTGCTGCAGTATGTTTTATTTTTTCTTGTGGTTGATAATAGCGAGTTATGAAGATTGGAATAAAGTCTGAGGGGTAAATCACAATTTTTTAAAATATCCTTTGAGTGTTATGAAACCACAGAATGAAGATGTTTCAAATGAGACGCTGAATACTATATAATAAAGATGAGCTGATTGATAGAACTGCACTTTTTCCCTGACTTCAGTGAAAGGAACATGTGGAAGACATGCCAAATCATAGCATTCTTAACTGAATTTGGATGACATTATAATAATGGTAGAAAGGTTAGGTCAAGATATTACTCTAAATCCGAAAAGACTGTTATTGTTGATTTGATGCATAATGAACTTCTGTGAAGCATTCTGCTCTGACCTGTCAGTCTCTCTACCTGAAATTAACCTTCCGTGGATTATGTTTTCAACTACAGGCAAATAATAGGTTCATTTATAGGATGGTCCCACAGTCATATTTTGTTGATTATTTCACTAGACTCCTATAAAATTAAAGTGAATGTCTGGAAGAAAATGCTTCATTAAATATGATTTTCAGTTAGCTACTAGGAAAGGCAAAAAATGAGAAAATACACTGTAAACATTGATCTTTGCACAGTGGACCGCTTAGTTTTCAAACACTAATTCTATACGTTAAATGGTTACTTGAATAGCCTGTCATAACAGTTCAGCAGTACTAACGCTACCAATTATAACGTCAACGATAGCATTTTTATGTTAACTACCTTTGTTCATTTGGGTTGCAGGTTTTTAAAGAAATACGAGATATTATTGCTTCATCAATAGATGGATATAATGTTTGTATTATGGCCTATGGCCAGACAGGAAGTGGTAAAACTTACACAATGGAAGGCCATCCCAATGATCCTGGAATATATATTCTGTAGGTCCCATCGCCTAAATTACTACTAACATTCATTTTTATCTGCTTTTGGATATTCTTTGATAACATCTATGCGACCAGAATTAAAATTATTAAATTCTTTAAGCAAACCACTGAAGACTTATGTTGCAATATTTTATTTCAGATCTATACGTGAGCTACTGCGACTGGCGAAGGAACGTCAGAAGACAGATTTCCAACTCTCTGTAAGTATTAATTTCAAATGTTGAACAGTTTTCCTTAAATAAAAAAGAATGGCTTGTGTAATTCATTTTTCTTACTATTTCAATATACATGTCCTTTGTATGAATAATTTGTTTCTAGTAATCGCCTGTTTGTTAACTAATTGTCAAGGCGCATCAGAAATCTGTATTTTCTGAAAGAATTTTGTTATGTTTAGATTATGGGTTTTTGTAGGGAATCGGATTAATTACAGTGTATATTTTGTCATGAGCCAACATCATTTAGAGATAATTGGAAACCACAGAGGACTAGACAGCTGTTTCATCCCTTCATTGGAATCTTCATCAGCGCGCACCTACACCCTCATCAGGGATCCAACCTGGGACCTTCAGGTTACGAGGCCAAGCTAGCTAGCTGTTTATTGGGATCCTGTACTGAAATGTTGTGATTAGTGGGGTTCACCAGGTCAAGATGAAGTGTATGCTCATCGAAGGCATTGGTTGAGAGTAGCACTACATCACTAATTGACAAGATCAGGATTCACGGGCTGCTGAATTCCACCTCAAATGGCTGAGTGGTCAACCAGCTTGGTCTCGTAATCTGAAGTTCGACTCCTAGTGAAGAGCCACAAACTGGGACAAATAGATGTCCAGTGCTGCCTGGTTCTCAATGACCTCTCTAACTCATGTTGGTTCATGACGAGATCTGCATTGAAATCTTATTATAGGCTTATTTTATTGGTTAACTAATTTCAGTGCTTTTGAAACCGGCAGTCACTTTGAATCCTTTGATCTATGGCTTTGGACAAAATGGAAACCATAAATGTGTGTTTGACATAGTCAGTTTTCCCTCAGCTTTTGTTCACACTTGATTTATTTATTTAGTACCCTTTCTTGATGAATTTGGTATTTACTGATATGTACATGGTAATTTGTACCGGGACACAGTAGTGCTAGATCCTAAGTCTTTTATCTGGTAGTTTGTTCTACACATCTTTTTCCCCTATTTTTATGGTATACTATTCAAATGAATGATTAATTTATAAGTTTGTGTTTTCAGTTCAACTTGGTCCAAATGATAATTGCAAATGCACCATTTTCAGGACAAATGTATACTTTCTGTTTGACAGAATATGGGATAATTGACGTCAATCAAATGTGCTGACACCCATTTAGTAATTCAGAAATTATGGATTCTTTCTTTTTTTGGTAAATTAAATCTTCGGCTATAGAACCCATAGGGGAACATAGTCTATTAACTTAGAATATGTTTGAAATTTTATTGATGTTTTTGCATTCTTTGTGATGACTAGTTAGGCTTCACAGCTTTGAGCTTAACTCTAGACCTCACGATCTTAACCAAATCTATGAAATTTCCAATGATTACCAAGCTTTAGATGTATTTCTATCAGTGTTTCCACTCTTATTCCTACTGATCGTTTTGTTGATTTTATGTTCGTACGTTTGACTGTATAATTTCTCTTTACCTATTGATTAGACTGATCTGCCTCAACATAAATTTTAACTACAGATTGATGTGGACATTAGGTTCCCAGTAATTACCTGAACTTGTTTGTGTTTTCACCATCCACAATTTATATATTTTCTTAATCGATTTTATATTCTTAATCATTCATTTGAATTGATAAAAGTAATAAAATAGGGTGATAATATTGCTTCTTGCGTGAGATTTGTTTTGAAAGACTTCACAGTATTGATAGATTTGCTTCAGAAGTTTTTTTCCAAAATTCATGTTTAATAGCTTCGGAGATTAGTTTTGTAGTGGTTAACTGACTTGAGAAATGCTGAGCTGTCGCAGTTCATGAGCAAGGAATTATTGTCTCTATGCGATAAGTTGCTTCCGTACTCTTAAAATCCTTAGTATATTTTATGCTTTATAAGACTTAACCAAATAGAATTTTCCTGTTATTTGTCACGAAACGATAGATTATCCCGTCCATATACAACCTGACTGACAGAAATGTATGATTAACTATGATTATCTTATTCATAAAGCAAACATATTCAGCGAATTACATGAGACCAATAAGCAGAATATGTACCCTACCTCATGGGTAATCCAGATTTTACAAGTTGAAAACCCTTTTCAGTCTCAGACAGTCTCACATTACGAATGAGAAAGAAATCTGATTTACTACTTAGTTTTCAGAGTTTGCATAATATGAATAAAACACTTCGAAAAAATATAATACATTGTGATACATAATTAGTTTTCTTCTAAAAATGTTGAATAATACGGTTTTTAAAAGGTTGATTGTACTCACTAAGGTAAAACTCTCGTGGGCATTGAATAAAATCTTCTTAATCTTTCACAAATTTAAAAATATAAAAGTGCATCTTAACGAAGGATTGGAGGAGGTCATGTGAAGAGGAGACTTGGAGCCAGATGAAGACTCTAGCAGAGAACCGAACGCAATGGAGACGCACGGCTGAAGCCCTATATTCCTCTAGGAATTAAAGGAAACAATAATAATAATATATAACGAAGGATTCTATATTGTTTGACGTGATTTATCATTAGTAATAATCATATAAGTGTACTTAAATTTCTTATCTGCATGATTTGTATTAATTGAAATTCTGTCAGCACTACTGATTTTCACTTTCGCATGATTAGATAAGCATATTGGAGATTTATAATGAGAATATTGTTGACCTGCTTAACACAAATGGTATGTGCGATACAGTTGAAATTCGTCATAATGGATCATTGGTCAATATACTTGGAGCAACATGGATGCGTGTTTCAGATGAAAATGATATGCATACAGCTATTTCATTAGGACAAAAAGGTCGACATGTGGCGTCAACTAAACTGAACACAAACAGGTTTGTAATTGTTCACAGAATATGTCAAATGTTGCAGTTAGATTCCGACTATATTTGTATTGTACGCAGTATATTTTTGTACTGCATTTCTAAATATGTCATCCAAAATTCTTAAATTTCAATATTTAATTAAAACTATGACTTTTATAATTATCTCCCGATATTTAATTTTTTAAACTGGTACTTAAAAGTACTTATTATTTTGAGTAGACTCGTTTACAAAATGAAGAAGAGTATAAAGTTGTATTTCCATCTGTTAGTCTGTTAAGATAATTAATCTTATCAAAACGGGACGTAAATTATCTAAATGATTGATTTCTTAGGAGCATAAAGACACTTGGAAGCTAATACAGGAGAGGAGAATGGTAAAAGAGAAAATGATTCAATACAAAGATGGACAAGAGAAAGAGACGCTGAGCTTAACTTACACAGCACTGGACAAAGAAGTGAAGAAGAGTGCCAGGAAGGACAAAAGACAATTCTATGACAACCTGGCTACTGAAGCAGAGAAGGCAGCAGGAAAAAAGGACCTGAGGACACTATACCAGATAACCAAGTCTCTATCCGGGAAGAGATCAACACAAGTGAAACCCATAAAAGACAGCCAAGGGAACCCAATTACCAAAGAAGAAAGACAGATTGAACAATGGGCGGACCACTTCAAAGGACTCTTGAACCGACCACCACCTGCAACTCGTCCAGAAATACCAACAACAGCACGTATACAACTGCAAGTTGACACCGATCCTCCAACGAAAGCTGAAGTCTTGAATGCAATCAAGCTTCTGAAAGCTGGAAAAGCAGCTGGACCAGATGAAATACCCCCGGAAGCACTCAGAGTGGACCCAGAAACGACAGCAGATATGCTGACTCCATTATTGCAAAAGATCTGGAAAGAGGGAAAGGTGCCTACTGACTGGAGGAAAGGTTACCTCGTGAAACGACCAAAGAAGGGCGACCTGGGACTCTGCAAGAACTGGCGAGGAATCATGCTCCTGTCGACACCAAGTAAAATCCTGATTCGTATCATCCTGGAGAGAATAAAGGACGCACTGGATACAGAACTCCAACCAGAACCAGCTGGATTCAGGAAAGGCAAATCATGTTCTGACCAAATTGCAACTCTACGCATCATCATCGAACAAAGCATGGAATGGCAATCAAACCTCTACCTCAACTTTATATACTTTGAGAAGGCCTTCGACAGTGTTGACCGCGAAGTAATTTGGAAACCACTCAAGTACTACGGCGTACCCCAAATATTCATCAACCTTATTCAACAGCTGTACGACAATGGCACATTTCAATTGATCCACAACGGAAAACTCAGCGAGGCGTTTGAAGTAAACACAGGAGTCAGACAAGGGTGCTTATTATCACCAATGATATTCCTAATTGTGGTGGACTGGATTATGCGTCAGACAGTGGGAAACGAGAAGACAGGGATATCCTGGACCGACGTATGGACTAACATGGATGCAGGTGAAAAGTATAGTAGGAGACAGAAGCAAGTGGAAACGTGTAGTTGAAGCCCTATGTTCCACTAGGAACCTAAGGGAACAATAATAATGATAAAGATATTTTCGTAGAAATTTCATGTTATGACAGCCTAATATTGATATAGTGTTTCGAAGGATACATGCATAAATGGTGAGCGTTCATAAATCACGGTACAAAAAATGAAATTCAAGCGAATATACAATCACTAATTTATTTCTCAACTTACGTGCATCTACAAGAATATTCATGAATAATCCCCATCCAGACATTAATGAAGACAAATCACGTAGTTCAGTGAAGAGGCTCTTTTCAACGAATTCATATTCTTCAGTTGTACGTTCTCACTTTTATACAATTTCGTTCTTTCCTAACTCTCTATAACTCTCGTATTACTTCAGAACTCTTGTGTAATTCCGTATTTCCCTTCGTTTTTATATACATTCTGATTACAACTCAATCATAAAATTATTCGTTTTATTACGTAAGTCTAATACAATTACTCAACTACTTTTTATGCACTGATTAATATTAACAACTATATTTGCGACAATTCATGACTTTTGTTACTACCCTCTTTCATGACGAAATTGTATAAAAGTGAGAATGTACAACTGAAGAATATGAATTCGTTGAAAAGAGCCTCTTCGCTGAGCTCCATGTTTTGTTTTCTTTACGATTTATTACTACCATACTAAACTATTTTAAAGGATTTCCGTATTCAGTAATGTTTATTCAGTGACACTAACGAAGATCACCTTAATAAGAACAAAATTAAAATATTAGAATTAGTTTCAAATAAGAAACACAGTACCACTTGTTTTAAGTGAACAGTTCATTGGTAAAGACGTAAACTACTGATTTGCCTTATTTTTAGTGTTTCTTCTGACTCAGTCCTAATGCTTAATCTAGCACCTTTTTATTGGTTTCTGTTTTTAGTTCAAGATCTCATCTTATTGTTTCCGTTTCTGTAATCGGAACAAACAGAATTTCTGGAACTATTAGCCGTGGTCACTTAACATTATGTGATTTGGCTGGGTCTGAAAGGGTCGAGAAATCAGAAGCAACCTCTGCTGAACGCTTTAATGAGGCGACGCATATAAATCTATCACTATCCGCATTAGCGCAGGTAAATGCACTTTTTTTCCTGGTATTGTGATCTATGATGTATTCTACATATATACATGCATGTATGTCTGGTAAGGCCCATGAAAATAAAAGCATGAAAACTTACCAACAAAAGCATGTTTCATGGTTAAAAAAGGTGACTAAAGGTTCGATAGTAAAGATTTTCACCCACAGAAGTGTAAGCTTATAGAATGTATTTCAAAAACCTCAAAGCCACAAACTTTATCACCTGACACTGAAAATCCGATGTAACCTGCTGGTATTACGATGCATTTTTAGTTAATGAATGACTTCTACATATCAGATAGCCAGAACACAGATTGATAATGTTACCGAAATTGTCAGCAATGTTATCACTTACAAAGGAATAAATAAATTGTCTTAGAAAAAACACAATTAGTATATGTAATGGGAAGCAAAAGGTTTGTATACTTAACTTAAACGTTCCAAACGTCATATTTAATGCACAAGTGAATCGTTGCCTTCTGATCAAGTGGTTGATGAGCACCCTACAACTGAAAAAATGGCTCACCATACTTGTTTAATGACTGGGTAAATATTTCCTGAAGAGTACACATAAGATCAAAACATGAGTATTAGGAACTAGAGTCCTTTTCCAAACACAATAAACTGATGATCGTGACTAAATGCCAGTTCACTTGTCAGTATTATAAATCAGAAGAGTTCACATAATTACAATGTCGAATGTTTAATTTTAATTCAGTTTCCGTCATCTTTTGACAAATAATTTACAGCTGTCCAGTACTCCCAGGTTTTCCGGTGGTTCTCTAACCGATATCAGCTCATGATGAAATCCTGTAACGAAACAAATAACTTAGTTTCATTCCAAGGACTAATTGAGATTGCTGTTCAAGATGAATTCACAATAATATTCATTCTTACCGGCTAACAGTAGTAGTTTTAATTCTAATGTCTCTATTTTATTAGCACTTCTAGACATTTGAATTTACCAACTGTTTATTCTGTTTTTCAATGAAGGTATTCATGGCATTACGCAATAATCAACTGCACGTTCCTTATCGAAATACTAAACTAACTCAGATGTTGCAACCTTGCCTAGGTGGAGATGCCAAGGTATGTGAAGTGTAATACTGAAGCGATTTCAGAGATAAATTTTGTCTCCTTAAGGCAAAACGATGAGGAAAATAGTTTATTGACTTCATAACAAAATATGACTGATACTGATTTTATCGAATTTTGATTCAGCCTTAAATTGAACTGTATTTAAAGGTAGTAAAGAAAGTATTTTCCAACTTGAGATGAAACTTTTGGAACGTATGTATTAATTGTCCCATGGCGTTTTTCAATCCTCTTTCAAAGTATTGCTATGCAGGTTTCCACTGCAAAAGGAAACTTTCGTTATGATGAAATTAACAAGGAATCAAAACTTTGTCTAGAAAATCATTAGCTCTGAGAAATATAGCTGGATATGAATCAAGATTTAATAACCTCGTTCTATTTCAACAAAGATATTTGTTCTGCTTTTTTTCTTCATTGGCATAATATGTTTCTTTTAGGAAATACTCAAAGAAAACCAGTAGTTAACTTATGACCACCGAAACTAAGCGCTTGAGAAACACGTAAAACTGTCGAGTTGTGAGGTAACAGCATCATTTTTCGTCGAATTCACATAAAATAAAGTGAATCGAGTATGTGGTCAAATTGGGTCACAGTTTCAATGTAGAATTCACTAATATATGCAAGGTAAAAGGCTTAAAATAAACAAGATTCAGGAGGAAACAATCACCATCAGAATATCTACAAAGATTGGTTTAGAATGGTTACGAATAATAGACGAGAAACTAACCGTGATATTATTCCAATGGACAACTCAGGCTGTTACTATCATGAAACAATACACTACTTACTAATAGTGAGTAATACAAATTTAACTCATAAAGTAGTCGTAGGAGAGGAATCAGTGTCAAGAAAGAAAAGAATCACTGCTGTTTCCAAAAGTTGGGGTGAATTTTCCTGACCTTCCTTCCAAAATAATTCGCTGAAAGCATTACTGTATCTGATAGTCGTTGATTTTTGTTTTCTGAGGCCGTAGCTTAGCAAAAATGGAGCCGCAGGCAAAAGAGACATCAAGACACTATATCAGATAACCAAGTCTCTATCCTGGAAGAGACCAACCCAAATGATGAAACCAATAAAAGATGCTCAAGGGAACCTGATCACCAAGGAGGAGAAACAAATCAAACAGTGGACTGATCATTTTAAAGGACTCTTGAATCGACAACCACCGACAACTTGCCCAGAAATACCAACAACAACATACACGGAAGTGCCAGTGAACACCACTCCTCCGACTAAGGAAGAAATCCTGAGTGCAATCAAACTACTGAAGCCGGTCGGGTAAGTCAGCAAGATCAGACGGCATTCCTCCCGAAGCACCGAAGACGGCTCCAGAGATTATGGCAGATGTTCTGACTCCATTACTGCGAAAAGTTTGGAATGAAGGAAAGGTGTCTACTGACTGGAAGCAGGGCTACCTCGTCAAGCTGCCAAAGAAGGGCAACTTACGCCTCTTGCAAGAACTGTCGTGGAATCATGGTCTTATCCACGCCAAGTAAAATACTAAGCCGTATCATCCTGGAGAGAATAACGGTTGCATTTGATGCAGAACTGCGTTATCCGGAAGAAGCTGGATTACACCTAAGACAAATTCTTTCACAAATTATTTATCTTCTCAAAATTCTGTCATTGATATAAAATTCTTGTTGTAAGGTATGTCATTCACTCAAGTCATTTTTGTCAATTTTTTACAGACTTGCTTGATAGTGAACATTAATGAAGATCCAGCTAGCATGTCAGAAACCTTATCTTCGCTTCAATTTGGCACTAATGCACGACAAATTACTCTTGGTCCTGCTAAAGCTCATATAACAAATATTCATCATAGTTAATTTCGTTTCTTAAAAACACTAAGACTTTTTATTCCTTAAATTATTTAAATTTTATTTTCTGATATTTAATTAATTATTGTGAACGAAGAAATCTCTTTTATGTCATGCTATTTTAATGGAGTCACTTAAATTAGTTTTACTTTTAAAACTAAATAAAAAAACTACTCCCATCGTGTTTTGTTTTACTGTAGTAAATTTTGAAAAAAATCAGTTGCTACAAATAAGTGTTCTTAATACATATCTGTGGAAAAGCAAATTAATGTTCAAGTTACTTCTTATGTATCAATCAACTTCATAAAACAGGGTATCTTTTAAAAAAATTTCTGTATACTTATGAGATCATATGAGAAGTATGCCGATTAGTGGATTTATGTTGCCTGAATGATTTCAGATAATTTTAATGAAGAATAGTAATACAAAACTGTAATTTGTTGCTATATTAAGCTTCCTCAAAACATATTTTAACAGCTTCACCGTATGAATTCTGATTCACAGTGATTTCATTCACTTAAGTTAATGTAATACAGGATTTAGTTAAGAGATTTTTTCTTGACCGTCTAAAAACGAAGTGTCATCAAACATGATATTTTTAAAAGCTTAGATTATAAGCACTTCAAAATAAATGCTTTAAAACTGTAGTTTAAACGCCGTACAACTAGGCGTGTTTCTCGTCGGATTTCCGAACATCATCCTGCGTGGTTAAGTAAAAGACAAACAAAATCCATTCACAGCGCTATTCTATCTCATTTTATGGATATAGAACACAACCAGTCTTTCAAAGTCATCTGCCGCATACCAATTGATTTTAACTTTACCTGAAGAGTTCTCCTACTACATATTGCTGAGGCCGTTGGGATCCACACTATGAAACCTTACTTATATATCCAAAGGAAACTGGTTCAGATACTGTCCTTATCTTGGCAATCAAGATTTTAATGATCCTCAATTTGTTGTGGGAATTTCCTTAATTTTATTTGATATTATATTTGCTATTACATTTTTATGCTTACTATAATTTATGCATCTTTAGTCAACTGTAATTCCACTGAACTTACTTAACAAATCGTTAGTATTTAAAAACACCAATATTGTTAATGACGACTATTTTAGAATATTCTATGTACAAACATATATATATATATAATTAAAGAGCCAGAAGAGGAAATTATCGAAAAGGATATTCTTTGCACAGTTTTTGTTTTTTCTAAACTAAGTTTGTTATCCCAGTTGTAGACTTTAGAGTTCAGTGTATTAAAACAAATAAAAACTCCTTTACATTATTCAAAGTGTCAGCTACTAAGTGTTTATTTTCAGAAAATATCTGAAACTAACATATTAAAACGTATTAATTTCGAGCAGATCATATTTCTCACTACATCCGAAATGCTTTTTCTGTCACGTATTTTCTTTGGCAATAAATGAGCTGGAGCTATTTGATTTCTCCCTACAAACTGATGCTCATATTTTTGAAAGTTATTGTAACTGCCTGTCAACGGAAACGAATGTCGGAAAGTATCGGTTAAAGCAGCATAGAAATGTAGGGAAGGGATTAATGGACACTTAATGGACAAAAATTAAATGTGTATAATTTTGAAAATCTTTATGAATTTAGGGCAGTGATAATAAATAGGACATTAAGAAGGCACATATTAGGAGTCGATATCATTTCATAGTTTCCATACGATCACTTTAAAACCAGCATGGTTGACAATAGTAAAATATTTGACAGTTAATCAGTCAAATAAAATAACAGTGCATATTATTTACACATTTCTGTAAGTCAACTGATCCATGGTAGGCAAATTCTGAAGTTTACTACTTTCTGTACAAACAGTTAAGGTGAATGTAAATAATCCAGAGTGCTTCCATCATCTTTAATAACCTTGAATTAAAGTAATGTGAAATTACTGAGAAACAGTCATTATATTTAATTTTGTGATTAGAATTTTAAAGACTAATTGCTAAAATAAAGTGTGTATAGAATGGACTTTTTGAGGTATTACATGCACATTAAATAATTTCTTATTTATTTGAATGTAAGTAAGGTATTCATCTAAAGGTAATTTTAACTTCTTCATGGGCAGATAAGCTTTGGTTTATCAACATATCGATGGCTAGCTTACAGTTTCTACACAATATTTTAACTGGATACACTAATATAGGGAAAATTACAACTAATAAAGTAGACTTTCTGTATATATATATATGCCAGACACCAAATGGAAAGTAGCCAGTCACAAAAAATTACCGTCGTACGAATCATATCTGTTTGATTTGAAATGACTCCAACCTTTTGCTGTGCAGCCTGATCTGTGCTTTGAAAAATTAAATTTAAAAAAGGCGAATAAAGTGTATCAATAACCTGTCTCAGCCATCTCTGTGTCATCTTGTCCAACTTATCATTAACATCACACGATTAGTATGATTTTGATGTAGAACTATTTGTATATTACTGTTGAGCCATTGATGAGAAATCAACTGAAAAGAAATATACTTCTTCCCTGAATTAGTTGTTTTTCTAGACTTTTAAATGGTAATTTTTAAGGAAATTATGAATTACTTTTCAAAAAAACTTTACTAGTCATTCAATGCTGATTGTTAGAAGAGTAATCTATCGATGAGTGGGGATGTCATCCTTGAAGAATGTATTGTACAAAAGGTCAAGTCAAAAAACCGGCAATAGGATTCATATATGTAATATTCAAATACCCAGTCATTTAAAAGCGGAGACGTTGAGGAATACCTTGACTTTAAAGCAAGTAGCGTCACGTAACGATTACTCGCGAAGGATAGTTGAAAGCCAAAGAATATGAGATAATTGTTTTGTCTCATTTTAGAGCATTTCAGCTGAATCTGTAAAGATTTGAGAGTACTTGAACTTGATCTGTGTCAGTGGTAACAACGATACACTGTGACAAAAGTGAATAGTAAAGAGTGCCTCAGGTCGGTCGGTCGGTTTTCGACATAGAACTTTGCACATATGTGCGGCAGTTCAAGTCGCCACACTCCATGTAGCACACAAAGCAAGAGAAGAAAGTAAGAGAAATGCATAATATAGACAGTAAACAGAGGTGTGAGATTAAGGTATAGTAATAACGAAGAACAAAACAGTTTCATTGGAAATCATGAGTCACAAGGAGTGGATGCATCTGCGCCAGCCATTGAGAACGATTTTGAGCCATGTCACCAATTGTTTCCAGCCATTGGTTTTACCGTCCCGAGGACCCCAACCAGGAAGTCTACACCTTCCTACGTGGCTTAGACTAACTGTTGTGGATTTCATTGACTGGTGCCATGTTTCCGTTTGACCACCGCTAGCTCTTTTCCAGCCTGACCCTATATCAGCTAACATTGCCTATTGTCGAGGAAGGCGATGACTAGGCATACGTAACACATGTACCAACCATCTCAGTCGATGTAATTTCACAGCCTCGTCGATTGATTTCCCCGCCTTACCTAGCACTCGACGCCTAACCTCAATATTGCTTACCTTATCATACCACTTCACGCGGGAGATAGAACGCAGACACCTATGATCGAAGACAGCTAGTCTTCTCATGTATTCCGCTCTCAATGGCCAGGTCTCACAGCCATAAAGGAGGACGGAGCGGACTGTTGAGCAGTACACACGCCCTTTGGTCGATAGTCGGATATCGCGTCTACGCCAGAGACGGCGTAAACTGGCATATGCGAACCACATTGTTTTGTCAATGATGACAGAGATAATAGTGAAAGAGTGAGACAAGGTTTTTGGCAGTAGTGTCCACCATTTTATTTATTAATTAACGATTGGAAAGCATCATTTCATATCAGTCTTCTCTGTTGAAATTATTGAAATTACTTTTGATAAGATTTGGCGGTTAATCCCTTTTTCTGGAACTGTGACTCTATCAAAATCGATTCTCTGTCAGATGTAATGCAGTAGATAACTTCGAATTCATTTATTCTTAAAATGTGCTGTGATTTCCAGATTTCGTTTTAACAACTGCTGATGTTCTTTCATGAGTACATTCACTTGTCTGTCTGTTTCCGCCATGCATACAACACTATGATCGTCCCTCCCTGTCACTTTTCATTAAATGCAGCTTTTACTCACTACTGTTCGTTTATTTTTCATCACAGGAGTATGTTTATAATCAAAAAATTAACGCAAAACCATATGACGATTTTCACGAGTGAACACGTTTGACTTACAATGGGCTTTAAGTGTTCAGTAAACTTTTCTGAGTAGTAAGAATGTAACCATTTAAGAAGTAAGGCTTCACGTATCAAATGGCAACAAAGGTTTGTCAGGGCCTTAAAATATTTTAATTATATATATACTACTTGTTTGCGTGTAAGAATATGTTTATAATACCTGTTATCAAGTTTTTGTCTACATTTTTTGTCAAGGCTTTAATATTGTGTGTATGTTAACTCTAGTAAAAAAGATACACCTAAGAGAGAGGCCTAAGAAACTCCTATTCTCCAATAACAATGAAGTATTTCTTTTAGCCAATTAGTATACCTAATCAAAGTAATATAAATTTTTCTCTTCAGAGAAATAGTACACCATCATTGTACTTTGCAAAATTGTGAGGGTATGTTAATAGTTGTCTTTTTTTTATTAGTATGTATTCTTGGATTTCAAGCATGATGTGAATATTAATAGACTTTCCAAAAGATTCCCTAAAAATGTGAACTTGAAGTCTTACATTATGCCTGCAGACATAATGAAGGTTATAGGCAGTTGCATGTGAAACGAAAGTAGATTTCACAATCTAGATTATATAAATCACTCGAAAGACAGAATAAACAATTTTAGATACATGATCTAAATAAGTTGACCTCTTTTACATTGATGATAACCATGTTTATTCGTAAATGAACTGCATTTTAATGCAGTTGCATAAAACTGCTATGTACTGTGAAGAAAAATAACTTTATGATTAGACTAATAACAGGCTGTCATGTCCATTAGGGTAAAGATAAGTTCTAAGCCGTTCCCCTCAGTCATTTCACATGCAATCTCCATAATTTGAATTTATAGAATTTGAAGGGTTCGATAGCAGGTTTCATCAAGTGCCGACAACAGATATAAAACCATCGCACTTTGTTTTAAATATCAGTAGCATTCCATCATTCCATCTGAGGAATTGTCTAAAGCTGTTCAAACCTCTCCATGATAAT